AAGCAGAGGCAGAGAGAATGAGAGAGAGAGAGAGGTCTTCTATTCACTGGTTCACTCCTGAAATGGCTGCAATGGCTGCAGTTTAGCTATCTGAAGCCAGGAGCCAGGAGTTCTTCTGGGTCTCCCACATGGGTGCAGGAGCCCAAGCACTTGGGCCATCTTCTGCTGCTTTCCCAGGTCACAGCAGTGTAGAACCCCAAAAGCAGTGTCCTCTTGTGACGACCCCAGAAACACAGACTCCAGACCAGACGATGCAATAGAACAGGAGGTAATTTTATTTCATTTGTGCAAATGGGCCCTCTACTGCTGCAAGCAGCGAGCAAGAGAGAGGAGCCCCGAGCAGCTATCTCACACAGCTTTTAAGGGGCAAAACCACAAAATTAACATACCATAGGGTGGCGTAAGTTTATTGGGTAACTACAATGGGAGGAGGTCGTCGAGGAGGAGGAGAAACGGGGGCTACGTGCCCTACGTGTCTAAGCTTGGACAAGGGGAGGTTGTCCTTGAAGAGCAGAAAGGGATGGCTACGTGCCCTACGTGCCTCACGGTTTCTTTGTTAAGCTTGAACAAGCACAGGGGAGGGGGCTTAGGTGCATACCAGGATGTTCTGTCGCCCTTATCTCTGGGTAGTAGCCCTTATCTCTGGGTAGTAGCTATCTGCTTTCTCTGTGAACTTAGTTTACTCCCCATTTCCCAGGACTGTTTTATTAAGGCCATTTTATGGCGGCTCTTGGCCGCTCCTTTCAGCAGAGAGCTAGATTGGAAGAGGGGCAGCCAAGTCTTGAACCTGCACCCATATGGGATGCTGGCACTGCAGGCAGCAGCTTTACCCTCTACACCATAGCACCAGCCCCCATCCTGTTTAATAATAGATTTTGGTATTTCTTAGAACCATATTTACAACAATTTTTTGAAGATCTACTTATTTGAAAGGGTGAGAGAGAGAGAGCAAGCAAGCTCCCTTCTGCTGGGTCATTCCCCAAATGGCTGCACAGTCAGTAATGAGCCCGGCTGAAGCCAGGAGCCTGGAGCACCATTGGGTCTCCCATGTGGCCTGCAGGGACCCAAACATTTAAGCCATCTTCTGCTGTCTTCTTAGGTGCCCTGGCAGGGTGCTGGATCAGAAGCTGAGCAGCCAGGACTCAAAGCAGCACTCTGATATGGGATGCTGACATCACCAGTGGTGACTTGTCCCACAGCGCCACAACTCTGAGCTCTACAACAAATATTTAGACCAATCTGTACTTACAGAATCTCATTATTCACTACCAGATTTCCTGGTTTCCTTTGTCTCTGGATCAGCTCCAGTGCATTTAAGTCTGGTGTTCTGCCAGGGAGACACCGGTCATCCAGGGAAAGTCTGCATTTCCCCTACTCCCACCCCCACTTCCACTCCCTCCCCATGCTGTTTGTCCCCTGATTCATGCATACGGGATTCTCTTTATTCTTGTTACATTTAGACTTGCCAGAAGAGTTTGTTGTCGCTCCTTTTCATGAATATTGTTTGCCTGTTGGAGAGCACTCTGTCTCTCTGATGACTGCTTATCTGCCCTGTGCCCCCACCCCTCAGGTGCAGTGCCCCCAACCCTGTACCCTTCATTCCACAGCATCAGCAGTTGCTGTATGTTTATAGCTTTATTCTTCTCAGCATTGAGAGATGAGCTCTTGAGCTTTTCTTCCTCTTCACTGATTTTCTCCTCTGCAATTTGTTAACACTTTTCTTCTCTTAACCAGGTCCCTGTCCCTGTGTCTCTTGGTTTGCAGACCCTGTGTTTCTCTTAATTTAAGTGAGAAGCTGAAGCCTGCAGTTTATGAATATATTTTTCCTGCTACCCTTGAAGTAACACCTTGACAGTAGAGACTCTGTTTTCGAGCACCTGAGATTCCATCTTGAGAAAGCACCCCCTCCACTGTGATATTCTGGTCTGAAACTATTATCTAAAACTAGACAATAGCAGTACTCAGGCAATAATAGTTCACTGCATCCCACTTGGCAGAGCATAGAAGCTCCCTAGTATGATTCCTTAAGCATAAAACAAATAGGATGCACCTGGATTAATGTTAACATTGCAATTTGTTGTCAAGGTTGTAATTGATACTTCCCAAAGGCCTTAGGTCAGCTTGACCGTAGTAACCATGCATTCCCCCTCCCCCAACTTTGTGGGTTTTGCCTTTATAAACCCTGTTTCTTTGAGCCTTGGGGTCAAGAGTTCTTTGGGGCATGATCTCGGGCAATAAAGGACTCAAAAGTTGATCAGTGTGTGATGCTCCTGTGTTTGCAATCGCTCAGGTGGGACAACCTGCACACCGCTGCTTCCTTCTCTCTTTGGGTGGCCGTGTTTCTTGCTTGCCTCTCTCTTTAGAAGCTGAGGCTCCAGGTGCTCCTTCCTTCCCCACCCCAGAAGCCATGCTCATCATCTGCTGGATCCTTTAAGCCCATCCCATGTCTATTGCTGCCGTCTTGTAGCACAGGTGGACAGTTGAACACCAGACCCACTGAGACCTCTGGCTTACATGGCTGGGAATCAGCATTGCTGGATTCAGTTGCATGGGGAAAGGAAGCCTGCTGCTCCTTGTCTCAGTGTGACTGCCCCTCCAGCCTGCACAGCCAGCACAGGGTGCAGTGAGGGTGTGCGGGAGAGGGCTTCATCCTTTCTCTGGCTGGTGGACAGTCTCTGCCCATCAGGAAGATGGCCTGAGTTATCATCTCACTCCCTGCATCTTTAGAAATGGCTAGTAAACAGGTAGAGGAGAGCCTCAGACGTCTGGAGCTGCCTGTTGGCGTAATTCATTCAGCATTGCAGAGAGGAATGGTAAGCATTGCAAGAGCCTAATACGGCTGCCTCAGGGGAGAGCTTGCAAAGAGCCTCCTAGTGCCATGTGGAAGCTGTAGTTACTTAGGCACTGACTCAGGTAATAACCTGGAAAAAAATGAAGTTGAATTTCTACCTCTCTCTTTAAAGCAAAAAAAAAAAAAATTCTCGATATATTGAGTACTAAAATATTTTACAAATGAAAAAATGAAATAACCAAAAGTAAACATGAAGATACCTTTTCAATCTTAAAGTAGAAAAGGCATTTGAAAGGATTTCACAGAATCCAGCAGTCGTAAAGAGAAAAGATGGATAAATGTGACTGATAAATAAAATGATTTTTTCATGGATAAAGGTACCATTAACAAAGTGTCTCAGTCTGTTTGTTGTTGCTATTAAAAAATTCCTGAAGCTGAGAAATGTATAATGAGAAGTTTTTTGGCTCATGTTGGAAGCTGAAAGGGCAGGATCAGGTGACCCCATCTGTTCAGCCTCTGGTGCAGGGCTCACGGCAGATGGTATCAGAGTGGTGGCAGCAGGTGCAGAAGAGAGACCCGGCCAGCTGGGAAGACTGAGGGATTCAAGGCCCTGGCTTGCTCTCTTGATAACAAGCCCTCTCTGGGGAACTAACCAGGTGCCACCAGGACTACATTCCTCACTTCGAGGGTGAGGCTCCCAGTGATGTGATGACCTTGCACTGGGACCCCCATAGATAAAAGTTCCACTGCCTGGCAGTGTGATCCCATTGGAGAGGAACTTCCGGCATGTGAATGCTTTTTGTAAAAAAAAAAAAAAATTATTTATTTGAAAGGCAGAATGACAGAGAGAGGGAGAGATAGAGATGTTCTAACTGCTGTTTCATGCTCCAAACAGCTGTAAACAGCAGGGGCCCAGAACTCCATTTTGGTTCCCTATGTGGGTAGAAAGAGCCCAAGGATTTGGGCTACCTTCCATTGCTTTCTCAGGCACATTAACAGGGAGTTGGACCTGAAGTAGAGCAGCCAGGACTTGAACCAGGCACTTTGCTAGGGGATGTGTGTTTCCCAAGTGGTGACATAAGTACTGTGCCCAAAGCCTGCTCCATTCACTCTACCTTAGAAGTTTCGATTATGGGAATTTGTCCTAGGTGTATCCCCATGAAAAGCATAACATCATTTACTACAGCCCTGATTATTCTAGTAAAAGAATGCAAGCTATATAAAAGTCCGTCCATTGGGATCTTATCAAGTAAAATACGGTAAAGAAAATAATACACAGAAATACCAAGGAGTCACTTCTTTTATTTTTTAAAGATTTACTTACTTATTTGAGAGGCAGAGTTATAGAGAGGGAGAGACAAAGAGAGAGAGGTCTCCCATCTGTTCATTCACTGCATGGTCGAAACAGCTGGAGCTGCGCTGATCCAAAGCCAGGAGCCAGGAGCTTCTTCCCAGTCTCCCATGTGGGTGCAGGGGCCCAAGGACTTGGGCCATCTTCTACTGCTTTCCCAGGCCATAGCAGAGAGCTGGATCAGAAGTGGAGTAGCCAGGACTCGCACCATATGAGGCGCCAGCTCTGCAGGCAGAAGCTTAGCCTACTGTGCCACAGTGCCGGCCCCCATGGAATATTTCAAAATGAGAGGCAGTCTACCCACACAGAGAGAAAACACTCTCATGCCGTATTCAGGGGAAGAGCAAGGAGTGGTACAGTGTATACAGAAGGAGGGCTGCACAACTAGGTCACTGTGCATCTACGGCCACCTCTGGAGGGAGCAGCAAGAGACTCGGGACCATGGCTTCAAAATTTTTTACTTTTTTTTTTAAAGATATATTTATTTATTTGAAAAGCAGAGTTAGAGAGAGAAGGATAGAAAGAGATCTATCTGCTAGCTCACAGGTGGTAGCTTAATCTGCTATGCCATGTAGCTCCTGAATTTTTATTTTAAATTTTATTGAAATGCAGTGAGAGAGAGAGAGAGAGAGAGAGAGAGAGAGAGAGAGAGAGATCCTATTAGTTTACTCCTCAAATGCCCACAGCAGCCAGGGATGGGCCAGGCTGAAAACCAGGATCCCAGAACTCAATCCAGCTCTCCCAACTAGTGGAGCCATTGCCGGCTGCCTTCCAGGAAGCTAGAATTGAGAATGGAGCTGGGACTCGGACCCAGATGTTCTGATCTGGGATGTGGGTATCCCAAGTGGTGTCCTAGCCATGGTGCTGGATGCCAACCCCAGTATCAGTGCTTTAAATGCAGAGTGGGAGAGGGGAAGATTCACTTTTTACCACCCACCCCTCTGTGCTCTGTTTTCTAAGACAGTCATATATATGTATTAGCTATTCAAAAAGAGAAAAACACGATACATATATGCACTGAAGGGTGTCACTCATTTAAGTTATTGTGGCTGGTAAGGAAAAAAAAAATCACATTTTTCTTTGAAAGAAATAAAATATTTAGCTTGTTTTTAAAAATAGAGGAGTCATAAACCTGTTGTCAAGAGATGGAATCATTTTACTTCCATCAGCTGAATTATCGTGGCAATATTGGACATGGTATCTCACAGTGGAGACAAATGCAGAGTCAGCACTGATCTTTCCAGTTCCAGCTTGGTTTTTCCTGCAGAGACAGTGCTGTCTGGTCGGAGCTCCCGAATCACCATCCTCAGTCTGCACTGCCGACGTCACCTCCGTTGATCCACCAGCCCCCTTTTCTTGGGGAGCATGGTTGAAAATGAGGTTTTCCTTAAAACGCTCTAATCTCTTCCCTTGTTAATTCTCCACCCCCTGCCTGACTCTGTTCCCTCTTCCCTGTACCCCAGGCAGCTGCCCCAGCCAGTCCTGCTGACCTTGTGGCCCATGTCCCTGGCAGCATCTGCTTCTGTTCAGCTCCTGCAATGCCACATGTATGGGTGGTTGGCTCAGCAACACCCACTGACGCCTTGGTGGGGGGAGTGGCTGAGCTCTGGGTGGCATTTGAGAGCTTCACACTCTTGACCTCAGCTTTGTTTCACCCCTGCCCCCCTGCCCTATGCACCCACATCCTCTGGGTTTTGAGGGAAGAACTGGGCTGGAGCCTGCTTATGCAAAACAGGGCTGTATTGGAAGGATCCCTGGGGAGGCTTGGCTGTAGTGGCCTCGGGAACCCTCGGGAGAGGCTGGGCACCCACCTCTGGTTCCTGTTCTTCCCTGGGCACCAGCTCCCTGCGTTCCTTTCTTTGGCTCTGTTCTCCACGATGGACATGGACAGTGCCTGAGCTTTCTGCCTGCGATCTCAGCCACTAAAAATGAATGGGCTTCTAAGACCCCAGTTCCAGGGAAGAGTCTCAATGGCCCAGAGTGGTCTAGGTAGGAGGGATCAGGCAAGAACATGGCAGCTCCCCCTACAGATGCCTGGATACAGGTGTGGACGTGCAGTTCCCAGCAGCTCCATGGACGCTGTCCCCTGCAGTCCCCGTGTGGAGGGGACTCGGAGGCAGGAGGTGGACTGGGAGACACGGAACAGAGAGGAATGAGGTTCTCACAGGAAGAATCCAGTGCACCAGGGCCCTGGGGGCTTCTCCAGCATGTCCTCCGCACGAGGTCGTGGTTTCTGCTGGAGTCGCCCCTGGCTCCCGGAAGTTGGGCCGCTGCGGGAAGGAGTTCCTTCTCCACCTTCATGGGAGAGACTGCATGCTGGAAATGCTGCCTGCTGCCAGTTTAGCCTTTGCCAGCCCCCCTTCAGCCTCGGTGAAGTGCCTGCCCAGGAGAGCATTGCCTGAGACTGTGTGTCTGTGCTGCCCAGGGGCTTCTGGGAATGGCTCAGTCCCTGCTGAGAAGCCACTGGGCAAGTAAAGTGATTGCACTTTTGAGGGTAGAGGCCATTGCAGGGGTAGGATGCTGTCATACCCGGCTCTGGTCCAAAGCAGAGGTGGTGGTGGGGGGTGGTTGGTGCTGAGGAACAGGCTGACATCGGCTTCAGAAGGGCTCTTCTGATTCCTGACAGGGCTGATTCTGAAGGGAGGTCCAGGGTTGTGTGGTGAGACCATTGCGATTCACGGTACCCCTGACAGCTGGAGACTGCAGAACTGGGGTGGGGCAGGAACACCTGAGGCCACCCTCAGGGGGTCTTAGCTCCTCTGGCCTCCAGGGGGCTCCCTGCTCTTCTGGCCTCTGGCCTCTGTGTTCTCCTATGAGGGCCAGGTGCCTGGGAAGGGACTCTGAGAGCCCGCTGGGGTTCAGGCTATGGGCTGCAGCCCCCCTGTCTTGGCTGGAGACTATGTGTCCCCAGGAACTAGTGCTCAGGGTAATTTGAGTCCCCAGTTTGCATAACCAATAGGGCCATTCTGGCACCCTGCACCCCCTTCCCTGTTGTAACCCCTCCCAGTGAGTGATGCCCGAGGCCCCAGACACAGTCCCAAGTGCCACCCAGCTCACTTCCCTTCTGGATGCTTTGAAGCAGCCACTGAGCCATTGGTTCCATCTGACCTATAACGTGCGCCCAGAACCCACCCTGTTGCAGGTGCGCCTCTGATTCTCTCTTCTAGGGCAGTGCCAGATCCTCTGTTCACCCACCTTCAGCGTCCATTTCTCCCCATCCACCACTCTGCTGAGGGCCACAGAGTTCATCCTTGGGCCACACGGGACTTCCCTCCTAGGAATCCTCGCACTGCCTCAGCACCGGGGTGGGGAGGGGTGGAGGCAATGGAGCACATCTCCCAGTGGCTGCAGGGGCTGCAGGCCTCTCAGGGCTTCCATGTGCCTGTGGAAGTCTGGGCATCACGTGACCTGGGTCTGGACCTGACTATGTGAGTCTGAGGCTGGGGGTGGGGTGGCCCCAGTGTGTGGACACTGACCTGAGTCTGCATTGCCCGGGGATTTGTGTGCACCATGTATGTGTGTGTGTGTGAGTTTCCAGGTGCATCGTGCATGCTTTCCGTCCCATGTGGCTCAGAGGGCACAGAGGACTCCCCCTACACCTCTGAGCGGACATCTGGGAGGATTTTTGTAACCTGTATGGAGCCACCCCAGGTTTATCCCCAAAGCAATATTGTGGAGAAAGGGACACAGCGTCACTCACAGCCTAATCTGCATTCTTTGCTTGTGTTTCTGCAAGCCCACGGAGGGGCGTGGTCCCTGGAGATGCTGTTCAAATTGGCCTTTTTTCGCCCTCCCTGCAGCTCCTGGAGAAAACCATACAGAGTTTGATATTTGCACAGCAACCTTGGCTGGACTTCTTATCACCGAACCCTCACTGCTGCCTGCTCGTTGACTCCCTCTGCCCTCACAGCAAGCCTTCACCTCTTCTTCTCTGTTCACCTACAAGCATCTGTTAACTTTCTCCACTCCTGTCTGGTGTCCACTCACAGCAGCCCAAGGATCTACTGCACAAAGAAGGCCTTTTGCTGGCGGGGTGTGGGTGGAGAGGCAAGACAAAGTCATTAGTGAACTCTGGAAGAGGCCAAGCTGGGCATGAGACAGGTGGGCAGTGGAGTGTCAGTGACTTTCCTCTAGAGCTGGCTGCTCTCCTCTCTCTCTCTCTCTCTCTCTCTCTCTCTCTCTCTCTCTCTCCCTCTCCCCTCACCCTCCCTCCCTCTCCCTCTCTCTTCCCTCTCTCCCTCCCCCCCCTCTCTCCCTCACCCTCCTTCCCTCCCCCCTCACCCTCCTTCCCTCTCCCTCTCTCTCTTCCTCTCTCTCTCTCTCTCTCTCTCTCTCTCTCTCTCTCTCTTCCTTTTCCTTCTCCTTTTGTCCTATGTGGTCTTAACAGAGCAGCTTACCTCTTATTCTCTGGTTTCTGCAATCTTGGGTCCTCACACACAATATCCTTTCAGTTAACAGTGGGGTCTTTGGGGCTGGCGCCATGGCTCACTAAGTTAATCCTCCACCTGCAGCACCGGCATCCCATATGGGTGCCGGGTTCTAGTCCCAGTTGCTCCTCTTCCAGTCCAGCTCTCTGCTGTGGCCTGTAAAAGCAGTGGAGGATGGCCCAAGTTCTTGGGCCCCTGCACCCACATGGGAGACTGGGAAAAGGCACCTGGCTCCTGGCTTCAGACCGGTGCAGCTCCAGCTGTTGCGACCACTTGGGAAGTGAAGACCTTTCTCTCTCTCTCTCTTTCTCTCTCTCTCTCTCTCTCTGTGACTCTGTCAAATAGATAAATAAAAATCTTAAAAAAAAGACCAATGGAGTCTTTGGGAGTATATTTTTCGCAGAAGGCAGCAGAAGGATTGTAACTAACAAAGTATGTCTCCCATCACCGTACGTGTTCTCTCCTGTCCGGACACACGCTGGAGCCTACACATCTCATCAGAGATGCTGGCCTCCCTGGGTCTCAGTCCACTCTAAGCTCCATGTGGTGCAGAGGGCACAATGCCCAGTAGCTCTGGGACAGATGAAGCTCCTCATGGTTGTTCACGAGGAGCTGAAGGTGGCATTGATGGTACTTGTGGCACATCATGACCCAGCCATCTTTCTGCACTGTTCTCTCCCTGGCACAGTGGGGAGGAAGCTTCTGGAAGAAATGAGAGGGAGTCTTTTGCTCTAGTTCTAGGTATAGCCCCATGGTGCTTAAATAATTCACGTGTTTGGAAAATAGCAAAATCAATGTTTTGTGTTTAAATTTCAGCCATGAGGAACACCCTTGAAGCACACAGATTAGGAGTTAGACTCCAGTCATAAACACCATTGCTCAGCCAGGTGTTGCTACCACTGGAGGCTCATAAGTTGGAGCCGATGGGACTCCATGCTCAGAGCCCAGCAATCCAGTCTGGTGGCTGGGCCTGGCCCTCCTGGGACTCCATATGAAAAGCAGAGTGACAGATAGATAGAGGGAGAGATAAGAAGCAATCTTCCATCCACTGGTTCACTCCTCAAATAGCCAGCTGGGCCAGGCTGAAGCAGGAGATGGGAACTCCATCCAGGTCTCCCACATGGCAGCAGGGGCCCAAGCACTTGGCCACCACCTGCTGCCTTCTCAGGTACATTAGCAGGGAGCTGGATTGGAAATGGAGCACCTGGGACTCAGACCAATGCTCATATGGGATGCTGGCATCCACAGGCTGAGGCTTAACCCACTGTGCTGCAATGCTGGTCCCATCCCACTTGTCTTTTTCTGGTGAGACACCAGAGGCCTGGATTTGGAAGGCTCATCAGCCAGGAGTTAGGGACAGAGCAACCATCCAGGAGTTTTAATCAGAAAGGAGTGGATTCAGGAAACTAGGAGGAAGAGCTGGGCAGGAGGCTGGGCTCAGGAGGTGCTGCTGACTTCTAGGGGCTCTGGGCAGGCTCAGAGAGCTGCTCTCCAGGAGATCAGAGACTGTCTCAGCAGCTGGCAGTGGGTACATGAGTGGTAGCTGGGATGAACCCTGGAAGCTGTTGGCACAGCCCCATATCTGCCACTTGGTGACACCTGTGGCTGCCATGGGAGGAGATCGTGGCTCCTCCCCCACTTCTGCCTTCCGGCTGTCATTGCAACCTCACAGTAGCTGCATCTCACACAAGTCCTGCAGGCAGGGGAGTCCTGGAAGTGTGGTTCCCAGGCTCTCAGCCCCACAGTCCTGGAAGGTGCTGAGAGGGCAGGGCTGTTCTGGGGACCACGGGTGTCCTTTTTATCATTAGACTTGACAAGGGGCAGAGCCCACTCCAGTGTCTCTATTAATAGAATAAGCTTATGATTCTTCACTCTGCTATGATTCCCACCTGCTGCACATTCAGAAGGGACTAGGGAGGCTAAAGTAATGGATAAAATCTCCTGGTGCCATGACACAAGCAAAACAACCCTTGCATTAAAATATATGAGAAACCAGGATGGAAATGCACCCATAACTTTGAATACTACTCATTTATTTCATGTTATCTCCTGAGGTTCTCCTATAATATCCATTATTTCAAATGTTCAAGTATTGCTTTCATCTTGAAAAATATGCTTAATAAACTTAAAAAAGTATTACTGCCGTGGAAAAAATCCAGAAGCACGATATCCATTTTGTTATATGTATAATATATAATCTATATGTATTTCAAAAACATTACTTTAATGGCTCTACATTATTTAGTCATATGGATTTAACATTTGTACATAAATCTTTGCCTCGACTTTAGTTAATTCCTTAGGATAGGTTTCTAGAAGTGGGCTGCTCATCCAGAACCATGAGTTAATTGCTTTGCCAGTGTTGAGAGTGATTACCTACCACTAGCCGCACACAAGGCTGCCCTTCTCGGTCACTTTGTGAACATGAGAGCAAACTGTTTATCTTATAAAAAACAAAAACAAAAAAGGGCCTTGTCATTTTTATGGACAAATAGTTTATGATGCTATAGTTTTGCTTTTTTAAAAAAATTGTTTTTATTTATTTGAAAGGTCTAGCAACCAAGAGTGAGTGAGTGAGAGAGAGAACTTCCATCCACTGGTTCACTTCCCCAGATGCCTGCAACAGCCAGGGTGTGTCAGGACAAAGTCAAGAAGAGCCAAGAACTCTGTCTGGATCTCCCACCTGGGTGGCAGGAGCTCAAGTACTTGAGACAGTCATCTGCTGCCTCCTAAGGGTGCACGTTAGTGAGAAACTGGATCAGAAGCCGAGGTGGGACTTGATCCCACGCATTCTGATGTGGGAGGCGGGCATCCAAGTGGCAGTTTAACCTGCTGTGCCACAACACCTGCACCATCATTTCTTTGATTTTCACCAGGGAGATTGAATTTTATGATTTTCATTATTTAGGTCCTGCATATGTCTTTTACAAAATACTTATTGTTATGTAGGTACTGTCAGCTTAAGGCACAACATTCAAAATGAACAGCATGACATATGGTGATGGTTAAGACTGCTTCCTGCCCTTCTGCTGGGTCAGGGTGCCCTGCCATGAGAACATGTGCCTATTTGTTAGAGTATACTCCAGAGTGTTGTACATCCATGTAAGCCACAACACACACGTGAACACATATGTAATGTATACACACTATTTTTAATTTTTACAAAAGGGTAGAATATTATGTACATCACTTTGAAACTTTTTATATCAATGTAAATTACAGCACTTTCCATGTAGTAGCACAAAAATTATGTCACATTTTTTTTAATGTCTGTAACACATTCTAATGTACTATCATTTATTTAACCAGTCTACTACCGATAGTCATTTTAGGTTATTTTTCATTATTATAAGCCATGCTGGAATCAATCACTTTGTATTAACTAATTTTTAAACATTTAGATTTATTGAATTGGAGTGCTTAAATGTAGATTATGTATATTTTAAATTTTAATACCTATAGCATAATGGATATTTTTGGTAACCTTAATAAGAAAAAAAATGCCTAATTCAGAAAGCTTAACATTTTATGAAATTTTTCTATACATTTTTCTACACATAGTTATATTTACATATAGTTTGATTACAAAGTGTTTGTGATTAGAAGAAAACAACTACCCTCTTCCTGAGCCATGCTGGGATTGCAGCCTGGGAGTGTGTTCCAATAGTAACATCTGTGCTGAGGAGCTGTGACTGGGACATGGGGTACCCTAAACATGATGTCTAGGGGCTGGCATTGTGGTGTAGTGGATGAGGCCACCGCCTGCTATACCGACATCCCATGTGAGTGCCAATGTGCATTTCTGCTACTCCTGATCCAGCTCCCTGCTGATGGCCTGGAAAAGTGGCAGAAGATGGCCCAAGTACTTGGGGCCTTGCCACCCATGTGGGTGACCTGGAAGAAGCTCCTGGCTCCTGGCTTCAGCTTGGCCCAGGCCTGGATGGTGCAGCCATTTGGGGAGTGAACCAGTGAATGGAAGATCTCTGTCTCTCTGTCTCTTCCTCTCTGTGTAACTCTGCCTTTCAAGTAAACAAATAAATCTTAAAATAAAATAAAACAAACCATAATGTGTAGGTGTGTTATGAGAGTGTTTCTGGATGAGTTTGTGTGAGTCAGGGGGCTCAGTGATGTAGAACCCCTCCCCAGGGTGAGTGGCGTCTCCTAACCCATTGATGGCCCAAACAGACCAAAACGCTGAGAAAGGACTTTACCCCCGTCTCCTGCCTCATCATCGAATTGGGACATCTAACCTCACTTTCTCCTGCCCTGGACCTGGAATTAACACCACTGGCTGCCTTGGTTCACAGGCCTTGGACTCAGATTCAGTTACAACAGCTGGCTTTCCTGTGACTTCAGCGTGCAGACTGCAGATGGAGGGACTTCGTAGCCTCACATTTCTTGGGAACCAGTTCTTCATAATATCTCTCCTTTTGTATACAAAGCTATTCAAAAAATTTGTGGAAATCAGAATTAAATGATGTTTATTGTAGTGCAAAAATATTTTAAATCTATGCATAGGAGGACTCTTCAAAAAGCTCATGAAAAATGCCTATTATGAAAAAACTCTTCATAGATTTTGAAATGTTTTGCACCAAAATAACTGTTTGAAGTCCCCTGGTGTATCTTCTATGGGTTGTTTCCCTGGAGAACCCCAACTAACATCAATGACTAATAATTACATATATGATCTGCAGTCACTGGTTTGATAACTTTACATAGAAACAACAGTTTATTTGTTTATTTGAAAGGCAGAGTTACATAGAGAGAGGGAGAGAGAATCTTTCATCTGCTGGTTCACTCCCCAATGGCCCCAATAGCCGGACCTGGGCTGATCCAAAGCCAGGAGCCAGGAGATTCTACTAGGTCTGCCATGCGGGTGCAGGGACCCAAAGTACTTGGGCCATCTTCCACTGCTTTCCCAGGCCATAGCAGAGAGCTGGGTGGGAAGTGGAGCAGCCAGGACTTGAACCGGAGCCCATATGGGATGCTGATGTTGCAGCTGGTGGCTTTACCTGCTATACCACACAGCACTGGCCTCTAGAAACGACTGTTGACTTCTTTTCATAACCATGTGCATTTGGTGTGGTTAGTAACACTTCCATTTGAGGGAACTGAGGCACGAGACTTTAAATAACACACCCAGGGCCATGGGACTGTGAGTGGGGCTGGGATCTGGGCTGTGCAGCCCCAGAGCACTGCAGCTGAGCCCTCTGTGTGACCAAACAGCGAGGTTTAGTCTCAGGAGTAGTGAGTCCAGCTCTTGGGCTGACAGCATTGCCTGGTACTTGTGAGATTCAGTGACAGGTCCCAGTCTAATTCTGGTGAGGAGGGGAGGGCACAAAGCTCTACTTTTTTTTTTTTTTAACTAGCTGTGCCCTTGGTCTTTTCCCCAGAATGTTTTTATTTCCTTAAGTTTTTGAGGTGCACGACCATACAGCCTGTGAATACTGTTAATTCAATCTCTTCTTTCTTTTCCAGTTCTGCCCCCCACCCCACTTCATGTGTTGGTTCAGACTTCCAGGATGCTCTCTGGAATGCTGATGGCTTTTCCCCCTTCAGGTGAGTGCCTGTGTGGCCATAGCATTGGTTGTCTTTCTGGACAGATTAGTGACCCTGCTGAAGTTCTTGCCTTCCTGTTGTCACTTATTAAGGTCCTTGTGAAGGGATGGGAGTCTCATTCTGTTGGATGCCTGGGCAAGGGGTCTCCCACAGGAACATTAGCACTTATGGCTGCCTGTGTTCTGGTCATCTGTTTCATGTAACCAACTTTCCCAGGGCGATGGCTTGAAACAAGGGCCTCCATTTGTTTTACTCAGGAAGTGCAAGCTGGCATGGCTCAGGGGGCAGTGCTAGAGTGGAGCTCAGAGCCTCAGGTGTGGAGGTGTGGGGGAGTGGGGGCTGGCAGGGCCTGCTGTCTCTGCTACAGCTCTGAGGCCATCAGCTGGGATCAACCCAGCCAGCATGGGATGGGGGCTCCAAGTCGCTCTGATGCTGGTTAAAAAATAAATAAATACAAGCAACCTTGTGTTGGTAGCTAGATAGACATTAGCCTATGTGTGTGAGAGGCTGAAGAAAGTGGGAATTTTTCAAGAAAATGGAAACCTCTGTGCCTGTCCAGGAAGTCCATACCTAAAGCACTGCTTTGTTGGGTGGGTTTCGGCTTAGGGGACCATTTCCCGCCCTATACCCAGAGAGCTATCGGGTCCAGTAGTGCCCTGCTGAGAAGATCCTGGGGGGAATTTTAGGAATTCTACACCCAGGAAGCCCTCCACCCAGCAATATCCTGGAGAGGGAGCAGGGAGGAGAAACAGGGGCCCACACCCATGTTCTATGAAAACTGCCGTCTGAATGCAAACCAGGCCCTCAGTTCTTCCCCAGATGCCTGCCTGGCCTGGCAGGTGTATTCGATTCATGAAACATGCCTGGCTGCTTGCTGCTACACTGCCTCACACCCCCTACCCCCAACTCTGTTGTGCAAAGACAAGAACCTCCTGCAGTTACACCTGGAGTAGCCTTGGGGAAGAAACAGCCCAGATCCCCTGAGAGGCAGTCAGAGCTGGAGGGGAACCCACCCCTTAGTCCCCTCCAGGGAACAAAGAAGCCCTGAGGCCAAGACACAGGGCTCTTGTCCAGGGAGAGGGGCTTCAGTCCTGGGGAAGCCAAAGGGACTGATGTAGACCACGCAAAAGGCTTAAATCTGGTGACACCCCGGCTGCTTGATCGATGGTGTCAGCCTTCGAGAGGGTCACACTTGGAATTCACTCCGAAGTCTGCACTGCGCATGCAGGGCGGGCAGCAGGATGTGGTTTTCAAGATAATGAGGCTGTGTAAGGCATAGACGCGTGAATGAATACATGAAAGTCCTTGCCAATGGGAGCCCCGTGAGAGCTGGGTCCCTCTCTCCTGTGCACCTCCAAGAGCAAACTCCCCAACGTGCAAACCAAACGCTCAGCTCAAGTGGCAGCCATCCGGGCCCCATCCCAGTGCCATTGCTCAGCTGTGACCTTGAGCAAGTTGTTTCATCTGTCTCTGCTTGTTTGTAAAATGGGACAAAAATCATACCTACTACCTGGGAATGTAAGGCTGATTTTTATGTATTTAAAAATGATTTGAAATAGAGGGGTGGAGAGAGAGGGAGACAGAGAGAGAGAAAAAGAGAGAGAGAGAGAGAGAGATCCCAAATGGCCATGTTGGCCAGAGCTGGGCCAGGCCAAAGCCAGGAGCACACAGCAGGCAGAACCAGGGCACCTACAGAGCAGTGGCAGCAGGGCTGCTAGACACTGTGAGAGCCCCTCCCCTTGACCTTGAAGTGCTGGGGGAGTCTCTGTCTAGAGCAGCTCCTTAGTGAGTGCTGTTCTACCTGCACAGGGTCTCTCTCCAGCCTGGGTGTGGCTCCATGTCACTGTGTGCTCTCAGAATCTGGGAGCTGGGACCCTGGCTATCTCCTAGCACAGATTTTGCCATTTTCTTTCCCTTATGGGGTCTTAATGATGGGGGAGAGGAGCGATACGTGGACATCTGATGGTGTTTTACCCCTAACCCCCCAGCACTCTCCTCCTACCATCTGCACACACGATAGCATGCTCCCTAAGGCCCTGCCCAGGCCTCCCCAGCTCTGCGAGACTTCCCTTTCTGACCCCGGGCACAATTCCACTTCTTCCTCTACCACTTTATTTTCCCTTAAGGATCCTTTGCTTTTTGGATACATAGCATCATGTATTAGGACAAACACTATAATAAACATTGTTAAAATTTAATTTTTAAAAATATTTTTATTTATTTGAAAGTGACAGAGGGAGAGAGGGAGGGAGGGAGGGAGGGAGAGGCAGAGAGAAACCTTCCATTTCATGGTTCACTCCCCAAATGGCCACAACGGCTGAAGCTAGGAACCTGGAGCTCCATCCAGGTCTCCCACTTGGGAGGCAGGGGCCCAAGTACTCTGGCCATCATTGATGCCTTCCCAGGCGCATTCCCAGGGGGCTGGGTTGGAAGCAGAAGAGCGGCCACTCGGACCAGCACAGAAGCTGGCATCGCAGGCAGCGGCTTAACCCACTGTGCCACAACACCAGCCTGTGTGTCTCTAGGATGCCTGCTCCAGGTGCTGCTGTCACTGACATTTCACAGGACAGCAAATGGAAGCTAGGAAGGTGAAGGGACTTTGCCAATGGCTCAGCTGTCCAGTGGCAGAGGCGCTGTGGAATCAGGTCTGTCTCTCTCCAGGTTTTCCTCTCCCCCACCATGCTGGACGCTGGACAAAACCTGGACACCTTGTGTCCCCTGCAAGCCTCCTGCAGGTGGGATTGCAGCCCTCTCACTCTCACCTGACCTGCTTGGCCTTTGTGAGATGGACAAGAGGATGTGGAAGGTGGCTTTGTGTCTGGGTGGGGGCAGGGTGAGTTTTAACCATATTTTCTTGGACTCTGCATTTTGTCTATTTGCTGTCTGTTCACCCCAGAGCCGCGTTCACTAACTGTGACTTTCACCTTTTGTATTCTTGATGCTCTGACGCGTGAGCCCCTGAAGAACTGGGAACAGACCGTGCCTCCCAGGGCTGGCTGATTCCCAGAGACAGTAGCAATAGCCTCAGCCATGGCCTCGGGAGACACCACACAGCGTGGAAGAAGGCTGGGCCCCTGCCCTGAGCACCTGTGACAGGAGAAGCAGGTGGGGCCAGACACACAGAGCGAGTCCACATCTCTGTGATGCAGCCTCTGCCTTGTGCTCACAAACGGGGTGTGGTACAGACGCACACTCCCATCCAGCACAGCTGAGGCCGGGGCCAGGGCTCACGTTCTAGGGGGCAAAGGCCACATCTCTCCCTCATCAGAATGCGGGCTCAGGTGGGCCTGGCTGGGACCCGAGGGCTCTGACCTACAGACCCAGAAGAGCACAGAGAAAGGCCCCGTCCCCATCCCTGAGGGCACCTGGAGTCACCAGGCAGCCAGCTCTGCAGGCAGCAGCAGACAGCTGTGGCACAGGAGGCCATGGGGAGCTGGGACAGGTGGGGGCAGAGGGGATGGGCTCAAAGCAGGTCGCTGTACTAGACCAGGGCCGGGCCTGGGGCAAGCGGGGCCAGCCCACAGCACCCATGGCAGCCCTCCCCCCAGCAACTCAGTGCAGACACCAGGGCTCAGCAGTACAGAAAGGCCCTGCTGGCATCCCCCTAGGACCCAGCCGAGCATGCTGGGGGCCCTCTCCCGGTGTCAGGGTGAAGAGGAGCTGGGTTCCAGAATATACAGGACAGAAGGGAGAGACATGTGGGGGCAAGCCAGGGATGCTGCACACGGCTGCCCAGGTCTACGAGAGCATAGAGGTGACTCAGGCCCTCCCACCACGACTGTTCCTATTGTGCCGATCTGTCCCAGAGGTCACGGGCACTCACAGCTGCTGCTCTCCCACCCTGACCCAGACCCCGATGGACACCAGGGTCACAAACTGGAGCAAACACGTTTCCTTGTAACCATTTAATACAGGGTCAGCACCACCTGAGGGTGGCAGGGGCAGGGGGCAGGGGTTAGTACAGTGGCTCCCAGCACTGCTGTTGTCTTGCAGTAACGGGGTATCCTGGCCCCAGGAAGAGCCTGGGGGGTCGGGGCTCAATCAAGTGTATAGGATGCCGTGAAGACACACGGAAGGCTGCTGCCCAGCCTGGGCAGGACACGTGGTGGGCTCGGCCTCTCTTCTAGGAGGCACCCATCATCCAGGTGCCCCATGGAGTAGGAGGTAAGGAGGCCTCGGGCCAGGGAGGGCACACGGGCCTGGTCTCCCAGCCCAGGGCTGGCTCTGGCCGGCTCCAGCCCATGACTGTCCAGAGTGCATGGGGCTGCCATGCCAGTAGTGGGGAGTCTTCAGCCATGGCCCCCAGGCTGGGACGGGCTGCATGGGCCCTGGTTCCAGGGGCTCCAAGGCCTGTGGAGGAGCCCACATCCACAGGCCCTCCCGGCTGCCAGCATCAGAAGAGTCGTCCTCCCTCTGTCCTGGCCCGCTCAGGTTAGGGAGACTGGCACACTGGCACAGCCCTCCCCTCCCCCATGAGCTCTCTGGAGTCTCCGTGGGGCTGGCCACACGTGGAGACTCTGCGGTCCACACAGGGGAGCCCAGGCCGAGGGGCTCTGGGCTGCCTTCGCAGCTCTCCTCCTCCTCGATGCCTTCCCTCACGGCAATGCGGAGGCCAAAGCTTTCTGGAGGATGGATCATCACTGCACGGGCAGCGGGACCCCTGGTCTGCTCCCACACTGCCACTGTGTCCTGAATGGCGATCTTGGCCTTCATGGCACTGGGGGCAGGAACATGCTTCTGGGGGACGCGTGCCTGCCCCAGGGGCCTGCCACACCGTTCGATGGCCTTGGCTGGAAGAAGAAGAGACGCGGTTTGCTTCTCCACAGCCCCCATCTGACCTGCAGGGTGCATGCCTCGACCTCACCCTGGGGTCCCCATCATCCCATGTGACACTGAGGACTCTCCCAGGCTGCTGGCCCCAGAGGGGCGGTGTGTGCAGCCTGGGCCAGGGGAGCCCTGGGACAGCTCCGGCTCCTCCTGCACAGGCCCACAGGGTGGATGGCCCTGCCCTCCCCACCTCACTCTCTCTGGGGATCGAGGCACCAACTCAGGACCCCATCACCTACCCCACCTGACCTCCTGTGCCCTATCAGTGCATTGGCTGAGTTACCCGCATCTGAGTCCCTCCTAAATGGCTGGAAAGGAACTGAGCCTAAGATGATGGGGGTGAGAGCTGGGCTGTGGGGCAGACATGGGGTCTGATTCAGGCCCTTGGGGACAAGAATGCAGTTTCTAAAGAGGTGACAGGGGTGCCCTGTGTCCTCTGACCCTGGGCCACTGTCCCTTTCCTGGTGAGACAGCACCGCTTCTGTCCCACAAGCTCCCAGGGGAGGCAGAACCTGGAAGCACAGTGGGGCCTCCCCAGTGCCTCAACAGCCTGCACCTGGGTCCCCACTGCCAGCCTCTAGAGCTGGGACAAACCCATCTCTGCTCTTCATGGGGACCCAGGCACTCAGGTCCTTGATAGCAGCAGCAGCAGCAGGGACGAGTACGGGGACCCCTCCCCACCAGAGCCCAGAGGCCAGCGCTGCTCCAGGTTCCACTGACTTCAGTTGGCCCGAGGCTAGGACTGCAGAGCCCACACTCAGCTGCACTTGGGTTCTGCTGTGGGGGCCTGCAGTGCCTGCCTCTGTGCCCACCCTGCTCACAGGAGTGGACTCAGCCCCCACAACTGGGCTCAGGGCACCTGGGCCTTCTAGGGATCCTCAGATGTTTGAAGGGGATGCAGTGCTGGCTGGCTTTGGCCTTCACTGTGCAGGGTCTCCCACAGCCCCACCTTCCTCTAGCCCTGCCCACATGCAGGTGGGAGCCCCACCCACCCCTGTCCTAGGAGGGTCCTGTGTGCAGACAGCTGTGGTCATTGTGCCAGGAGCCTGTGTGGGGTCAGTCAGGGAGATGCACCCTGGGCAGGCAGGGCCACTTCTCATCTTGCTGGAGTGGGAGTCCAGCTGTGCTCCAGGCTCCTGGGGACACTGAGCCAGGGTACCTGCTCCAGACCTGGGCAGGGTAGCTCAAGGCGGGGCCTCAAATCCACTCCAGAGTGGAGGTCAGCTGAGGAGCCAGAGCCACAGAGCCCTAGGACAGCTCCACATCCCGGCCCCAGAGTCATTGGGGGAGAGCCGTCCCCCACAGGAGGAATCAGGGCAGCTGCCTGACGCCCCACCAGGCCATGCTGTCAGAGCTTCTGAAAGCAGAACTGCTGAGCCCGGGGAGGACATGGAGGACAAGGAAGAGGTGAGGCCCTGGGCAGGGCTGCCAGGGCTGGCACTCCCACTACTGACTCCCCCAAGGGAGCATGGGATGGGGCCGTGTGCTGGACTCACCTTCAGGAGGCAAGAGGCACTGGAGCTTCCCCAGCTCACGCATGGAGGCCCGCAGCTGCCTGATGACCGCATCCTCACTCAGTGACCAGGCCTGCTTCAGGGTCAGCTGCAGAAACCCATGGATGTGGTCCCTGGACATCTTCAGCAGGCACTCTAGACATGGGGGCGGGTGTCAGGCTAGGAGGGGCCCTAGAGATGGTGCAGCCACCATGGCTGCTCCAAGCCCTGTCCCAGCACCAGACATGGGCTGCAGACACCCTTGGACACCCTTGGGTGTCAAGCCAAGCACTGGAGGGACTGCTCAGGGGCCAATTTCCTGGGCAAGGACCCTGGCCACTTCTCCTTGTGGTCTGTGGGGGCCTGGGATTGGGGATGCAACAGGGGATTCTCAGTGCCCTCCTGAAGAGAACCCAGGACTCGCAAACCCCCTCATGCCTCCCTCAAGCCCTGCTCATGAGAGACAGGCAGGGGGACCCCCAGCTCCTCCGTCCCCAGCACCTGGGCCTCTGTGGGCCCTGAGGACTCACTGTGATGGATCTTGAGGGCCGTGTATGCCATGGTGGTGAGCACGTGCTCACCCTCAAGGATATAGATGTCCCACATCCTCAGAGCTGGGGGAAACAGCACCTGGGGGACAGAGGCATTGGAGGACCCTGCCCATCAGGGCCTCAGCAGGGCCCACAGGGGTGGGTGTGCAGTGTCACTATCCTAGGACAGAGGGAGACTCCAGGAGGCTGCATCACACAAGAAGGCCAGAGCTGCTCCTGGGAGGGGAGGTGAGGGTGGGGGACTGGTTTCATTGGGAGGTAAGGCCATTCCTCACAGCCACATCCCCGCCCACTCAGGGAACCAGACCCAGAGAGGATGACCATGTCCTGTCTTGGACCCTGGGGGTCTGCACACTTTGGAAGCCACACTGGAGATACCAGACACACCAGGGACCTGGGGGATGGGTCAGCCCTTGGGCTGTGCTGACACCAGCCTGTGCCACCCAAGGTCTATGGATCTTCTGCCTCTCACTGTAGGGCTCTGGCCTTTGCCAGGCTCTCAGGATGGGTCCTGGTGGGACCTGTCCCCTCCTTGCTGTCCCTGAGGCTCAGCCTCAGCTTGGACCACCTTTAGCAGGGCAGGGCCTGCCTGGTCTGCACAGCAGGCTCCCTCCTATGTCTGCTGGGGCTGGGGGTGCTCAGCCCTGATCAGAGTCATAGGCCACCAGGACAAGAGAGCCAGATACTGGGCAGGAGCTTCCCTGGGCAAGGGGTCCCCGGGGCACTTACCCCATCCAGGAAGCCCTGGATGCACCAGTGCACGGTGTAGTCCTCCAGGTACACACCCTCCTTCTCCTAAGAAGAGGCAGAGGGGGCTCAGGGCCCAGGGCCCAGGGCCCAGGCCTGACTCCCTCTAATCTGTGCCCTGTGGCAGAGCCCCTGGGTGCAGGAAGCCCAGCAGCAGGTGCATCCCCTCTCCCAGCCATGCAGATTCCTGAAGGGACACAGGTCCCTCAGTCCACTCTGCCCTGGGGACAGCGTTTCCCTTCAATCTACGCAAACTCTGGGGGACCAAGTGCAGGAAATCAAACCAGCACCCAAGCTGCCGTAGCCCCCAGTAACCAAGAAAAGCCTTAGTGAGGACGTAGCCTCCCCTGGCCCAGGAAGTAGTCAGGACCCCTCTCTGTCCTCCCCTCCCTGAGCACAGAGCCCCCAAGGGGAGAAAGGAGATGTTTACTTACCAGGTGTTTCTCCAGGGAGGGGAGCACGCGATGCATGATATCTCTCAGGTGGTGCTGGAATCGCTCCAGTTTTGGGGTGTTCGGTTTGTAGAAACCCGAATAGTATCAGCCACATCCCCATGTTAGAGCCTCCTCCTAGGAAGGCTGGAGAGCCCAAGGCCAGGGTGGGGTCTTTCTGAGCACTGAGAATCAGAGGAGGCTCGACCAGGGGCAGGTGGGAATGAATGTGTCCAGGGCAGAGGACCTGCTTGGGAGGTGGGTGCAGGTGGGTGACTGTGTGCAGCCCAGGCCAGGCTGCCCCCTGGATACTGCTGGGGTGAATGCTGTCAAACTGGGTGCCTCCTGACCATTCCAAGACTCAGGAGCGATGAAGGGGTGACTGTACAGGGGATGCTGCCTTCTGTAAGTTCCCTGGGTGTGGCTCTCTGCTTGAGAGTCTGCGTAGAGAAGTGTGAGGCAGAAGAGCCAGAAACAACCTGAGTCACTGGACAAGGACAGGACCCCTTGTTCTGAAGGTTCCCACACCCAGGATGGCCATGGCCAAGCTGCTGGGCCTTTGGATGGTGGTGAAAGAAGGGGGCTGGCTCAGTGTGGGAGGCCTCTGCCAGCCCTGGCTTCTAGGGAGAGCACCCCCCCCCGCCAACAGGGACACTGTCCTGCACATTCAGGAGCCAGTGAGGGCTGTGCATGGACTTGCATGCACTGGGCCTCACACGCCATCCACCTACCGTGCATCGTGTGCTTACTGTTTTCCATGAGCTGGACCAGGGCCCAGAAAGAGTCCTCCTTGGGCATATACATGAGCAGAAGCGCCACCACATGGCTCAGGCCCTGGCTGTAGCCCACCTCCTGCAAGATCCCAGAATACCTTTAGACCTCCCCTGGCAAGAATAATATCCTGGGATGGCCCACCTCTCAGGGAGATCAAGGTCACCCACTGAAGGGTCTAGGAAGATTGGGGAGGGAGCCCCTGTGTCTGAATCCTGCCATTTGGTGTCAGCAGCCCAAGAATTGGAGCCCATCGAAGTTCTCCAAGTTCCTGGAGGGAATCCTGCAGGGCCTGAGCTTAGGCAGCACAGCGGGGAGACCTGAAGTATGGGGACCTGTTACCTACAAGATGTCAGGATGGGTCAGGTTGCTGTGGGAATCCAGACCCATGCCCATGGAAGCTTCTGGACCCCTGAGCTCTGCAGGTGACGTGGTGGCCCTTTCTCACATGAGGAAGAAGTAAGCCAGGAAGTGCTACCAGGACCAAAATAGGAGGTGTGCCTCTGTCATGGGTACAGGCCTGGGCTTCCTGAGTGCCAGGCCCCCTGGGAACCAGGGCACCAGGCAGGGTTGGCCAGTGGCAGGTCAGGGGATGGGGATGTCCAGGCCTTGCTGGGTCACCCATGGAGCCCTGCACCTGCTCCATGCATGGGAAAGGTCTGAGTGGGTGGTTGTGGCAGTGGTGCTGTGTGGAGTGGGATTCAGGCCCATGGGTCCAACCACATGTCTGGTGGGTGTAATGGCATCAGTGGGACCCAGACCCAACTTTGATGAGCAAAGTCATACACCTAATCTGTCCTGCCTTCGCCCCACACCCCACTGTGTGGAATGCTAGTCCTGGGAGGGGTGTCCCAACTCAGCCAAGCTCCTGGGGTCTGGAGGCCAGCCTAGGAGAAGGCTGCCTTTCTCCTCACAGAACTTGAGGTTGGGTCCAAGGAGGCCCAGAGCCTGGCCTCTACACCTCTGTCCCAGAGCTGTGGATGAGAGAGGCCCCCTCAACACAGGCTCGGATCTCTGTGACCAAGGGTGCCCTACAAGGACTGCCGGGATAGCACCTGCGATATGATCCCAGAATACTCACGGGATTGTAAACAGAATAGGCCATGAGCACTTGGAATAAGGTGCGTTGGCTGGAAGAGAGAGGACAGAGGCTGTGCGTCCTGTGCTGCTGAGGCTCTCAGTGTGGCTATGCCTAACAGAGTATGACAGCCATACGCAGGGCCTGTGACACTCTGCTCATGAGCAGTGATGTCATCAGGGCACCTGTGTGTTGTCCACCATGTGGGTGAGCACTGCCTGCAGGGACACTAACATCTCCCAGGGTGCAGTGACGTGCAGTTTCATCTCCCCAGGTGGGTGTTCGTTGCACAGGTGAGTGTCCCACTGTGGGAGGTGCAGTCCCGTGGGTCTAAGCTGTGGAGAGTCAGCCTCCCATGCACGTTCAGCCTGGTAGGGAGCAGCTCCTGTGGCCTATGTGTTCCCCATGAGCCCCTGTGGCCAAACTTCCCACCTCCCCCAGCCCATGGCCACCACTGCCCTGTTGTGTGTCCCAGGGTTCGGCCTTTCTCAGACGTCCTGTGAGTGGATCACAGCACGTGTAGCCTTTGAGGGATGCTTCCTCTCTTAGCAGAATGCACCTGAGATGCATCCAGGTGTGCCCAGGGCCGAGCCTCATCCTGCCTCTCACTGAATCCTGTTCTCGGATTCAGCTGTGACACGGGTTGCTTATCTGTGTCCCCACTGAGCATCGTGCAGGGTAGTCCTGCGTCCAGTGACTGTGAACATAACCCTGAATCTTGCGTGAGGGTTTTATGCACTCAGCTGTTCTGGTGCTTGTGTACATGTGCGTGTGTGCTGGGGGTTTGTGTGGAAGGTGTGTGTCTCTCATTGTGAGAAATGGCCCTGGGTGCTGCCGGGGGCCTGGGCCACTGTGCTCTGTTCCTGCAATGAACCAGAGTGGCGCTCGCCTCACGTTCTGCCCAGCACCCGGTGTCCTCGGTGGTTTTAGTTCCCCCATTCTCACAGCTGTGCACTGGTGCCCCGTTGTGGTTTAGGTGCTAAGCATGTGTTCATGCATTGAGTAGAATTGTGTGTGCCGTCATGAAGGGGCCCTCCTGAGCCTGTGTCCCTGGGGTACTAGGAGGCTGCCCACTGCTTCCTTCTTACTGAGTTGAAGGGCTCCTTGAATATTCTGGAAATAATACCTTAATAAGGTAGATTGCTAATATTGTCTCCCCTTGTGTTTCTTTTCATTTCATTCTCTCCACAGTGTCTTTGGGGAAGTTTATATAATATAAAAAAGTTTATATAATATATAAAAGGCAATTTTGTTTTCTGTGCTAAGTGAACTGTTTCAGGTTTGCACCCAAGTCTTCCCTAGGGACCCCATGTGCCCCAGGACCCTTGCTCCTCCCACCCCCGGGTCCTCCCCAGCCCAGAGGCCTCACTTCATTCCGTAACATTCCTGGAACATCAGGTGGTTTCTGAAAGCCCATGTGATGGCGGAGTCGATGTGATGGAAGTGTCTGGCGCCCAGTCTGGCCTGCTCTTTTCATCTTCAGCAGAGAGCAGGTTAAAGCCTCTAGCACAAAACACACATGTCCAGTCCCAGCTGAGTCTGAGGAGACGTGGAGGAGGCACTGACTAGGATCTAGGGAGAGGAAGGCAGGATGGGGAGGACAAGGGGGAGGGGCCAGCCTCAGGACTAGCAAAAGCCCCATTGCCACACAAGGACCTCACGTCCACGTCAGCTCTTCTGGCTGACAGGGAGAGTTCCCTGCAGGGAGCTCATTCCCTTCTGGGTCCCACATTGAGGGGGGGTCATGGGCTCCCTACTTGCCTCAGCATCCATGTCACCCCCTTGCCAGCATCCCTGCTGAGGGGGCCACTGGGACCCCGATGGTCAGTATCAGACAGGGGCTCTGAAAGGTCCCTGTGCACTACCCCTGCCTGCCCTCAGCTCTCAGCATAGACGTGGTCTGACCCCAGCCAGGCTTCTGATCCTCCTCGCTGGCATCTCAGGCCCTGCCCTCCAGGAGTCAGCCAGAGCCTGACCACTGCTCCATGCTGCCCCGTGCAGGAGGGGCCCATCTCCATCTAGACGTTGGAAGCCACCCTTGGCTTGGAGCTGAGTCTGGGCAATGACTGTCTCCAGGCCCAGCTCCCAGGGTAGCCCCAAACTGCAGACTTGGGGGAGGCAGGGTGGGCCACACAGCTGGGCCCTGCTCCCTGATGGCAGCCAGGGACACGAGAGTCAGCTGCAGTTGCCAGCCCTCTGCTCACACCAGTCCTTGCTCCCTCCTTTCCCGGAAGCATTGAGAGCTGTCTGACCATCGGACCAGCCACTCCAGGCAAGGGCAATGCCAGGGGTGCGATTGCATGTGAAGGCAGGGCCAGCGAAGGGCAGGCCCTGTTAGCACAGAGCCTGTGGGGCTCCCGACCTCACACCATTGTGATATACTGGGAGACCCCCACCCATCATGGGCACAGCAATTCCTCTCTTCTGGCCTTATGCCAAGCTGCCCAGGTGAGTTCAGCAGAGAGCAGGTTAAAGCCTCTGGCACAAAACATACATGTCCAGTCCCAGCTGAGTCTGAGGAGACGTGGAGGAGGCACTGACTAGGATCTAGAGAGAGGAAGGCAGGATGGGGAGGAGGCTCCCGAGGGCAAAGTGAGGGACGGTCCTCCACGGAGACTCAGGCTCCTAACCAGACCCGAGCAGCTTGAGCCCCCTTGGGCTGAGTGCAGAGCCGTACCGCGTATTTGCCCAGATTCTGGGCCTTCTTCTTGTCCACCTCCAGCATCACGGCCCACACCTTCCCGCGCACCTGGGCAGGGATCCCCTTATAAATTCTGTGCTGAAACTACAGGAGAGAGGAGGCTCTGGTGAGTGGTGAACATGGCCGTTCAGGGAGGGACTGCAGGGTGAGACAGCAGGAGGGAGAAGCCAGGGGCTCCCTGTGTATTGGCAGAGGGAGGATCTGCCCAGATGGGGGCCTTATGACCCACAGTGACTGGGGGCCAAGGGCTCAGGGGCACCGGCTCTGCCCTGCACTGACTGCCCCCTACAGGGCACCTGGAAACCTGCCCTGCATCCGGGATTGTCTTCAGCAGTGACTTCAGATTTTCTACCAGGACAGTGTCCTGTGTGTATGGGGAAGGGGTGCAGATGACCTGTGTCTCTAAGGGCTGGACAGTTGCCCCTGGGCATTTGAGAGGCAGGTGGTGCCTGGCACAGGAATGGGCACTGCTCAAGCCCCAACTCAGCTCTCAGTGTTCCCGAGGGGCCCTCAGCTCCACGGTACCTTCTCGCTGCCACAATATTTGCTGTGGTTCTTTATCATCTTGATCCATTTCTGGATCCTGCGCACCTGTTTACACTGAAAAATGAGATAGGATGGCATGAGCCCAGCTTCAGGCTCTGAGAGTGGCTCTCAGATGCAGCTCAGGAGCTCTGTGTGTGCTCAAAGGAAGGAGCCAGAAAAGGCACAGACCGTGAGCCCCAGATATTCTGTCTGGGGAGAGTCGGCAGCCTGGCCTCTGATCCGAGCTGCCCTGTTGTAAAGGCAGAGCCCTGAGCTCCAGCCAGGTCACTCCCTAGCATGCCAATAAGTCAGGGCGGCCGACAGGCAGATGCCCCTGAGCTGTGGCTCAGTTCTGGCACAGGCAAGTATGTTAAGATGTTAGCAGGTGCCATGTAAGTATTCCATCACAGGGCCTTATGGTACTCCCACTAACCATTGCCGAGCCCCACATGCCCCCTCCACCCAGCTCTGCTTCCCAGATGACTGGCCCATGGCCAAGGACTTGTCCTTACCTTTGCCCCCAGGGTGCTGTCTTGGGGCAACTTCTGCTCACTGGAAAGCAAGGGAGGTGGAGAGGTGAGGACAGGACCACAACCAGCACCTCTACCTCCCTAATGGGCCAGGGAAGTACCAGCCTCAACTTCTCAGCCTAGGGGACTGAGACGGGAAGGGAGGGGCTGGTGACCATGAGCACAGGGAGCCCAGGGCCAGGCAGGGGCCCTTGCTGCCAGTGGGGGTCTCCAGGCCTGTCAGAGGTCCACCTTCCTGGGTGTGTGGCAGCACCCCCACAGCGGTTGGGGGTTGCTGTCCTGAGCAGGGCCAGGCTGCCCGGGGGGACGGAGCAGTGTCCCCACATCAACTCTCCCCAAGAAGTCACCCTGGAACTGAGTCCAGGTGGCCTGCCTGAGAGATGCTCAGTGCTGTGAGTGTGCACCTGGGGCTCCAGGCACCTGGGACCACCACACCTCCCAGGGTTCCCCCCTGCCCCCCCCTCCCCTGTGCACTGGCAGCCTGAGGTGCTGGCTCCACACCTACCCCTCCTCTGTCAGCCCAGACTGTGGCCATCTCTCCACCACTCTGCTCCTGTTATTCTCCAAGTTCTGGCACAGCATGAGCCGGAAACCCCTATCCTCATGCTAAGGTGGGCTGCTGAGTCATGCCAAAGATGGCCCGAGATGGCTCCATCCCCCTAGGTCACTGGAGCCCACCTGCCAGCCATGGGGCCTCTCTCCCCGACAACTGTGGGAACAGCCTCCAAGTCTGCCTCCTGCCCCCAGGCCCCACTCCTCCAAGCACAGACCCGGGGGCAGGGCCCTCAGCTGCAGCCTCCCTGTGGTCTGTACTATGGGAACCCACAAGCAGGTTCAGAGCCTCAGAGACCACACCCCTGGCCATCCCTCAGACTAGGTCTTCAAAAGCCTTGAGCCTGGACCCTAGACCCAGGCACCTCCTGGACAACTGCCAGATGCCAGGCTGGTGCCCCAACCCTGTGGCCGCAGCTCTGGAATGCTGATGGCCAGGCTGTGTTGCCTGGGAGCATGGGGACCCTGAAACCACCCCCTCTACTTAACAGAAACAGAGACCTCAGAGTAAGAGTACCCAGTGGTTGCCCCACGTCCAGCTCTGTCCCTGCCTGTAGTCCTCAGTCACAGGGACACTAGGCTCTGGCTAACTGCTGACCAGTGCCTGCCTGTGACCACAGCTGGGCTCAAGATGGGGGCCTGGGGACAGGTGTGGCACCTCATGTTGGGGTTTCTGACCCCAGTCCCTGCCTTGGGGTGGGCTGGGGTGTGGAGGACTCACTGCAGGAACCGAAGCCTGTCTGGGACAATTCAGCCGCCTTCATTGTCCTCTTCTTCAGGCTCCAACAGTGCCGCTCCTTGGTGTCCCTGCAGCCGAGAGGGGACCCAGATGAGAAGCCCGGGTGTCAGTCACTGGGGGACCTGAGCAGCCTGCCCCCTCTCCCCTTGTCCCCAGGGAGGTGGGGTCTGGCTCTCACAGGCACAGTACTTGAGGCAGGGTCCCACGTCCTCCCCCAGCACCCAGGCCGATACCTTCTCATACTTCATGATGATCACTGCTCGCTCCGGGGCTCTGCCGGACCTCAAGGTGTCCATATCCAATCTGTAATACACACATGCACATGTGAGCCAGCACAGGGAGCCCTCGGGAACTGCTGCCCTGAGGGCTGTCCCCCTGGTCAGCTGGGTCCCAGGAGGATGACTTATGCAGAGCACAGGGACTAGGGATGGTTGGGGAAGGACAGCCCCCACATTGTCTCCCCTGCCCTCAGAAAGGATGCTCCTCCCCCAGCCTGGCATCCATGTGTACTCCAGGGAGTCCAAGTCTAAGGGTCTCCCTGGCCCGCTCCCAGTCCCCGCATCTCTGGGGCTCTCAGAGGCGAACTCACTGCCCCACCTAATACCAGCTGATCTGACACCTAGTTTTGAACCCGTGTCTGACACAGAATCACACCAAGGCCCATTCGACACTGATGCCCAGCACAGCGGGAGGAATGGGACAACTGTATACATGCTTTGCACACAGGGGCCCACTGAGAGCTCAGCCACATCACTCATGGAACCTGGCATGGGAGACCAGTGCCACCCACCTGGCGTGACCTTCCCCACGTCACAGGTCATGCAGAGATCCAGTCCCACTCACATCCGTCGAGAATCCATTCAATTCTATCAAATGTGCCTCCTGCCTACGCTACCAACAGCTGGTCAGTTGGGCAGTAGATGCACTACTGGACACTAGTCGCCTCCCAGCCCAGAGTGCGCATCCTCAGTGACGGTAACATCACAGAAGCCTGCCAGTCAATCCCAAGTGGCTCTGTTGTGGCATGGGTCAGGGTCCTCAGCCCTGGCTTCATTAAAGGTCACCAGAAGTGGGGCCTGTGTTCTCCCCAGGGCCCAGGTGAAGAGGGCAGGGCTCTGGCAGAACTGCCCCAGAACCAGGGGTGCCAGGGCCTTCTGCCGCCTGCCATAACGGTCCCAAGTCCCAGGCAACCTGCACCTTCTGCCCCTCCTTTATTCCTCTGCAATGTTATTGCAGCACAACTGTGAAGGCCTTTTTCTATGAACACAAGGTGGCACAGGGAGCCCCATCATGACCAGTCCTTCTTCCTGAGGTCCCCACACTCGGGGCTCCCCCTGCAATGACCTGAACGGAGACTCCCAGGGCTGCAGCCTCCTGTCCTACCACAGGCCCCACCCCAGCACTCCCAACCCCTGCTAACCCCCCCTGCTCTGTTCCAGCCCCTCTTCCCAGGAGTTGTAGGAGGTGGACACAGGGGGTCCTCCTGGGATGGAGGGCAGGGGAGCAGCCCGCTGAGCACCACCTGCATAGGACCTCAAGCCGGTGTGGCCCAGACTTTCCAGAGCAGGAGCCAGGGCCCTGTTCTGACACTGACCAGGGCTTCAGTCACAGAGCACTGAGAACTCCTGGGCACCAGCTCCTGAGCCGCATGCTGGTAACACCGAGCTGCTGCTGACCATAAGGACAGGGACAGCACGCATTGGTCAGGAACAGTCACAGGCCCGCAGCTCCCCGGGGTGCTGTTCTCCGGGACACACACCCCTGAGGGATGCAGGGGTCACTGCCAGCAGCAGCTCAGCCCTTCCAGCCCCTGGGCTGCTCATGGTCACCACGGGCTCTGCAGAGCCCAGGGACCCCAGCAGGGTTGGCCCAGCCTCAAGGCTTCCAGCTTAGGCTGCCTTCCTGCTGCTTCCTCACTGCCTACTCCGGGGAGGGGGAGCTGTCTTCTACTGTGGGGTGCGCATGTATTTCTCTGTGTGCATCACACGTGTGTGCCCAAGATGGGTGTGCTCCAGGCCTCCCCCGGGACTAGAAGCTCCACGCCTGAAGCACCCGGTCCTTGTCACTGTCACCTCATGGCATGCAGGCTACACTGAGATGGCACCAAGTGTCCCCCCATTTTCCCACCAAGCCTTGCTGGGCTGCTTTGGTACAGTGGAGGTGGGCTTGCAGTGGGCACAGCCCCATGGCAAGGCAGGAATCTACACTCCTTCAAGAACTCCTGTTGCCCTCAGTACAGTACTCACTGGTAAGGCTGAGACGATGGCCCCAGGCTGATGGGTTCAGGAGGCTCCTGGATGAATCCTGCTCTGGGTGACAAGGCAGCTGGCTGCACAGCCCCTGCCAACCTGGCCCAGCATGGAGGACGCCCGGGGAGAGGGATGAACTCACCTCTGCAACGTGGCTTCTGTCCCCTACTGTCAGGTGACGATCCCACCTGTTGGCCATCTCCTCTGTCAGGACCCTGGAGGTGGATAAGGAAAAAAAGATGCACCTGTCTCCAGCCCCTCCCTGCCCTGCCTCAGGCCCCAGGACAGCCTCTCCTGCTCACCCCATCATGGTCAGGGCAGTGACAACCCAAGTCTCATCTGCAGCCTGCCCGGTACCACAGAGTCCAGCGTCCCCATCCCCTGCACATGCACCACAGCACTCTCTGTTCCACTTCCTCATTGTAAGGAGCCCCTCCTGTGCCCAGGAACCCATGCAGGTGTCCCCCTCTGCTGTCCTGCCCTACCTTGACGCAGCACTCACCAACCCCTGGAGAAACTTCTCCCCAGACACGGGGGCAGGAGGCCTCCCTGCACCCCTTAAAGCCACGCGGCCATGGCGTTGTCCTGCCTGTCAGTTTCTTTCTAGTCCTCACAGCAACCTTGCTTGCCTCATCACCTGAAGGTCACGGACATGGGCAGTTTCTCTTTAGTCTCCCTGCCCTGCAGACTTGCTAGCAAACAGTAGAATGCAAATAAATACCAATAAATTGAAAAACATGGCATTCTCATACATTCGGTGTGGAGTTGAGGGCCTGCATGCCATGAGGGGTAGCCTGCATGCCATGAGGTGACAGTGACAAGGACCGGGTGCTTCAGGCACGGAGCTTCTAGTCCCAGGGGAGGCCTGGAGCACACCCATCTTGGGCACACATGTATGATGCATAGAGAAATACATGCGCACCCCACAGTAGAAGACAGCCAGGTGTTACCAGCATGCGGCTCAGGAGCTGGTGCCCAGGAGTTCTCAGCGCTCTGTGCCTGAAGCCCTGGTCAGTGCCAGGACAGGGCCCTGGCTCCTGCTCTGGACAGTCGGCCACACTGGCTTGAGGTCCTATGCAGGTGGTGCTCAGCGGGTGGCTTCCCTGCCCTCCATCCCAGGAGGACCCCGTGTCCACCTCCTACAACTCCTGGGAAGAGGGGCTGGAACAGAGCAGGGGGGGTTAGCAGGGGTTGGGAGTGCTGGGGTGGGGCCTGTGGTAGGACAGGAGGCTGCAGCCCTGGGAGTCTCCATTCAGGTCATTGCAGGGGCAGCCCCCGAGTGTGGGAACAGGTCTATGTGGGGCTCGCTGTGCCACCTAGTGTTCAAATAGAGACCTTCACAGTTGTGCTGCAATAACATTGCAGAGGAATAAAGGAGGGGCAGAAGGTGCAGGTTGCCTGGGACTTGGGACCGTTATGGCAGGCGGCAGAAGGCCCTGGCACCCCTGGTTCTGGGGCAGTTCTGCCAGAGCCCTGCCCTCTTCACCTCGGGCCTAGGGAGAACACAGGCTCCATTTTTGGTGACTTTTGATGAAGCCGATATGAGGACCCTGACCCATGCCACAGCTGTGCATCACTTGGGATTGGCTGGCAGCCCCATTATGTCACAGTCAGTGAGAACTGTGCACTCTGGGTTGTCGGCAACCAGTGGTCAGTAATGCATCTACTGCCCAACTGACCAGGTGTTGGTAGTGTAGGCAGGAGGCACATTTGATAGAATTGAATGGATTCTCGATGGAGGTGCGTGGGACTTGCTCTCTGCATGACCTGTGACGTGGGGAAGGTCACGCCAGGTGGGTGGCACTGGTCTCCCATGCCAGGTTCCATGAGTGATGTGGCTGAGCTCTCAGTGGGCCCCTGTGTGCAAAGCGTGTATACAGTCGTCTCATTCCTCCCATTCTGCTGGGCATCAGTGTCGAATGGGCCTTGGTGTGAGTCTGTGTCAGATCAGCTGGTGTCAGGTGGGGCAGTGAGTCCACCTCTGAGAGCCCTAGAGATGCGGGGGCTGGGAGCAGGCCAGGGAGACCCTTAGACTTGGGCTCCCTGGAGTACACATGGATGCCAGGCTGGGGGAGGAGCATCCTTTCTGAGGGCAGGGGAGACAATGTGGGGGCTGTCCTTCCCCAACCATCCCTAGTCCCTGTGCTCTGCACAAGTCATCCTCCTGGGACCCGACCACCAGGTACCCGCCCACCTGGCTGTGTGACTGTCCCCCCTCTGACCAGGGGGACAGCCCTCAGGGCAGCAGTTCCCGTGGGCTCCCTGTGCTAGCGCACAAGTGTGTGTGTCTTACAGATTGGATATGGACACCCTGAGGTCCAGCAGGGGCCAGGAGCAAGCAGCGATCATCATGAAACATGAGCAGGTACGGGCCAGGGTGCTGGGGGAGGAGGTGGGGCCCTGCCTCAAGTACTGTGCCTGTGAGAGCCAGACCCTGCCTCCCTGGGGACATGGGGAGGGTGGCTCAGGTCCCCCAGTGACTGAGACCCAGGCTTCTCACCTGGGTCCACTCTCCCTGCAGGGTCCCCATAAAGAGGCCCAGTTTCATCTGGGAGAAGAGGATGATGAGAGTGGAGCGCTCGTCCCAGACAAACTTAGATTCCTGCAGTGAGTCCATTGCACTATGATACACCCAGGGGAGGGACCAGGGTCAGAAACCCTGCCATTAGGTAGCACACCTGTCCCCAGGCCCCCTCCTTGATCCAATCTGTTGTCACAGTACAGGCACTGGTCAGCGTGTGGCCAGAGCTGATGACCCAGTGAGTGAATCAAAACTGAAGGCAGGGGCCGGTGCCACGGCTCACTAGGCTAATCCTCTGCCTTGCGGTGCCGGCACACTGGGTTCTAGTCCCAGTCGGGGCACCGGATTCTGTCCCGGTTGCCCCTCTTCCAGGCCAGCTCTCTGCTGTGGCCAGGGAGTGCAGTGGAGGATGGCCCAAGTCCTTGGGCCCTGCACCCCATGGGAGACCAGGATAAGCACCTGGCTCCTGCCATCGGATCAGCGCAGTGCGCTGGCTGCAGCGCGCTGGCCACAGCAGCCATTGGAGGGTGAACCAACGGCAAAAGGAAGACCTTTCTCTCTGTCTCTCTCTCTCACTGTCCACTCTGCCTGTCAAAAAAAAAAAAAACAAAACTGTAGGCAGAGACAGAGCTGGACATGGGGCAAACACGGGGCACTCTGCTTCTGAGGCCTCTGTTCATGCTAAGTAGAGGGGGTGGCTTGAGGGTCCTGCCCTGCTCCTAGGGGACACAACCAGGCCATCAGCATTCCAGAGCTATGTCCACAGGGTTGGAGCACCATCCTAGAAGGTGGGCAGTTGTCCAGGAGGTACTTGGGTCTCAGGAGCCAAGCTAAAGGCTTAAAGAACTGGCCTGAGGGACGGCCAGGGGTGTGACCTCAAGGCTCCGAACCTGCCTGCAGGCTTCCCCAGTACAGACCAGGGCAGAGGGGTTTGCAGCGGAGGGCCCGGCCCCTGGGTCTATGCTGGGAGGAGTGGGCCTGGGGGCAGGAGGCAGACTTGGAGGCTGTTCCCACAGATGTCAGAGAGAGAGGCCCCATGGCTGGAAGGTGGGCTCCGGTGACCTAGAGGCATGGATCCATCTCAGGCCATCTCTGGCGTGACTCAGTAGCCCAACTTAGCTCGGGTATAGGGGTTTCTGCCTCCATGTTGTGCCAGAACCTGGAGAAAAAGCAGGAGCTGAGTGGTGGAGAGATGGCCACAGTTCGGGCTGACAGAGGAGGGTGAGGTGGGAATCAGGCAACTCAGGTGGCCAGTACATGGTGGGGAGGGTGGGTGCAGGGGACCCTGGGGGTGTGGTGGTCCCAGGTGCCTTGAGCCCCAGCTGCACACTCACAGCACTGGCAGCAAGGGCTCCTGCCTGGCCCTGGGCTCCCTGTGCTCACAGTCCAGCCCCTGCTGGGTGTCTGCCTGCAGCATGGCTGCCCCCTCCCTGCACTTCTCTGTGCCCTGGGCTGTGCCTCAGCAGGGTAAGGAGGACACAGGTCCTGTCCCAGCCTTGCTGGGAAGTGGACCGTGCGAGGTTCAGTGCCCATTCTCATGGTGTTGTCTCTCTTGCCTTTCAGTAAGCAGAAGCCACCCAGGCCTGGATGCCTGGCAATGCAAGGGGTAAGCTGACCTTGGCCATGGACTCTTCAACTAGGAGGCAGAACTAGCAGGCCTCTGGGTATGGGCAGTGGTTAGGGGAGTGCCATATGGTCCTCCAGGGACAGCAGTCCCCAGGAGATCTGTTGAGGCCCACATGCCCCAGTGTAGGCCTGCAGCTCTGGGGTCCCCGCCTGTGGGCCACTATGGCCCACTTGCTGGATGAGATGGGACTGGCTTGAGGATGGCTTGTCCTGTAGGCAGAGCCCAAGCCCCTGAGGCTCCCCTAGTTGGAAGGTCTGGGTGCTGTGGTCTGCCCCTTTGCTGGCTCCTCCCAGCTGAGTTCTCCACAGGCTCCTGAGCTGCACCCGTGGCCTCTCCAGAGGACACTGCTGGGCTCACAGCCATCCTGTCTCCATTCCCAGCGTAAACATCAGGAGGGCCGCCGACTGCAAAAATGGAACAAGATGCTGCGAAATTTCACCAAGTACCACAGCAGTGAGAAGGTGCCTGGACCTGAGGGCCCCTGGGGACCACTGGGGGCGGAGCTACAATGGATGGTGCCCATCGCTGTGCCTCTCAGACACAACTGTCCTGCCCTGAAAGGACACAGGTCATCTCAGCCCAATGCCCTTACACCCAGGACACTGTCGCAGTAGAAGATCCAAAGTCTCCCCTGGGGCCACTCCCAGATGCAGGGCAGGCACAGTTCCTGGTGCCCTGTGGGGGCAGTGAGCACACAACAGAGACTGCACTGAGCCCTCGGCCCCCCTCTCACTGTTGGGTCAGGAGGCCCAGGTCCAGGCAGATCTGGGGACACAGCACAGAGCCCAGGGCTCCCCTTCCTGCTGTCTCACCCTACGCTCCCCCCCAACAGAGGGCCTGAGGCGGGTCTCACCAGACCCTCCTCTCTCCTGTAGTTCCACCGGAGAATTGAGAAAGGCATCCCCACCCAGGTGCGCGGCAAGGTGTGGGCCATGATGCTCTCCGTGGATACCAGGAAGGCCCAGAACCCTGGCAAATTCGAGGTATGGCTCTGCACGCAACCCGAGGCAGCCCGACCTGCTCAGGCCTGGTCAGGAGCCCGAGGCTCCCGCGTGGTGGACAAGTAATGCCAAGGAGGAGTGGTCATTCGGTTGGGGCCCCCACCCGGCCCTCCCCTCTGCCTCATCCATGTCTCCCCAGAGGCCTCCTCCATGTCTCCCCACACACAAATGGGCCTGGACACAAGGATCCGGTCAGGGCCACAGCCCTCATCCCTGTGGTTCCACCTTGCCTCTAGGCCCAGGACTGCCCAGTGCCATTGTGCTGGGTTCTGAATGCATAGAGAAGGCCTGGAATGAGGTGGAAGTCCTGTGAGCTAGGGCCCTCAGCTGGCTCTGTCCCTAACGGCCCTCCCCACACCTGCTTGCGTGTTTCTTATGCTCACCGGGCCCTGCCCTCACCTGGGCCTTCTCATGCCTGGCCTGGCCTCAGCTCACCCAGCCCCCACCTGGCCTGCTGGTTCCATCGGTCAGAGTCAGCTCTCAACTGCTTCTGGGAATGAGGGCTGATCCATCAGAGGGCTGGCCCCGGGCTGACTGTCACCTCCCTGGCTGACATCAGGGAGCAAGGAGCAACTGAGCCGCCAGCCCCGCCCTCCCCCAAGTCTTCAAGTGGGGGCTGCCCCTGGGGCCAGCTCCAAGTCCAAGAAGGGTGTCCACTCTCTTGATGGAGCTGGGGCTCTCCTGCAGGGGGCAGCCCTGAAGGCTGGTCAGGGTGAGGCTGACTCCTGTCCTGTGGGGCCTGAGAGCCCAGTGAGGAGGCTCGGAGGCCTGATTCAGTCTCTCCTGCTCTGGGAAGGCAGAGGTAGCACAGAAGGACATTGGCAGAGCCCCTGGCCTCAGGCTGACTGTAGCGGGTCCGCAGTGGCCCCTCTGCTGGGCACTGGGGGTGGCGTGGGCCCTAAGGTGAGTGGGGAACCCCTGACCCTCCCTGGATCAGGGGAATGAGCTGCCCCCAGAAAAACTCTCCCTGCCAACCAGAAGAGCTGATGTGGCTTTGGGGTGCTTGTGTGACAGTGGGGGTTGGCTCAGTCCTGAGGCTGGCCCCTCCCCCTCGGCCCTGCCCTGCAGGAGATGAAGGAACGGGCCAGGTTGTGCTCAGATCAAGTCCAACAGATCGATGAAGAGGTAGCACGCACGTTCAGAAAGTCACATCATGTTTCGAGAGAGATACAGAGCCAAGTGAGGCCTCTGGGCTGCAGGGGTCCCGGGGGAGGGAGGTACAAGGGTCCTGGTACACATGGGGTCCTAGGAGAGACTTGGGCTCAAACCTAAAGCGTAATTGCTCTAGGACAGAAAAAAATGGATCCATGGCCTTCTATTTATACTGAACAGTTTGCTTTCCCAAAGACACTTTGGTGGGAATGAAATGAAAAGGAACACAAGGGGAGACAGTATTTACAAAATATATAAAATGAAGTTTGTAAATCTAAATAACAAGAAAGCAAATCAGGGTTCCCTGCCCTGACACTGGGCCAAGGCTCAGGAGGGCCCCTGCATGACTGGCACACACAATTCTACTCAACGCATGAACACACACTTAGCACCTAAAGCACAACGGGGCACCAGTGCACAGCTGTGAGAATGGGGGAACTAAGACCACTGAGGACCCCGGGTGCTGGGGACAATGTGAGGTGAGCACCACTCTGGTTCATTGCAGGAACAGAGCACAGCGCCCAGGCCCCCGGCAGCACCCAGGGCCATTTCTCACAATGAGAAACACACACATTCCACACGAACCCCCAGCACACACGCACATGTAAACAACCACCAGAACAGCTGAGTGCACAGAAAACCCTCACGCAAGATTCAGGGTTGTGTTCACAGTCACTGGACACAGGACTAGCCTGCATGATGCTCAGTGGGGACACGGATAAGCAACCCGTGTCACAGCTGAATCCGAGAATGGGATTCAGTGAGAAGCAGGACGAGACTCGGCCCTGGGCTCACCTGGATGCATCTCAGGTGCATTCTGCTAAGAGAGGATGCGTCCCTCAAAGGCTACACCTGCTATGATCCACTCACAGGACATCTGCAAGAGGCCAAACCCTGGGACACACAACAGGGCAGTGGTGGCCACGGGCTGGGGGAGGTGGGGAGTTTGGCCACAGAGGCTCATGGGGAACACATAGGCCACAGGAGCTGCTCCCTACCAGGCTGAACGTGCATGGGAGGCTGACTCTCCACAGCTTAGACCCACGGGACTGCACCTCCCACAGTGGAACGCTCACCTGTGCAATGAACACCCACCTGGGGAAATGAAACTGCACATGACTGCACCGTGGGAGATGTTAGTGTCCCTGCAGGCAGCACTCACCCACACGGTGGACAACATGCAGGTGCCCTGATGATGTCACTGCTCATGAGCAGAGTATCACGGGCCCTGCGTGTAGCTGTCAGGCTGTGTTAGGCAGAGCCACACGGATAGCCTCTGTCCTTTCTCTTCCAGACAACGCTCCTTATTCGAGGTGCTCCTCACATATTCGATGTACAACCCCGTGAATATTCTGGTATCATATCGCAGGTGCTATCCCTGCAGTCCCTGCAGGGCACCCTTGGTCACAGAGATCCCAGCCTGTGTTGAGGGGGCCTCTCTAATCCACAAGGCAGAGACTGAGGGGTAGAGTTCAGGCTCATGGCCTCCTTGGCCCCAACCTCAATTCTGGGGGCAGAACGGAAGCCTTCTCCTGGGCTGGGCTCTGTTCTGGCCCAGGCAGGCCTTACTATGGTTCTTCTTCCTCACAGTCTGCAGTGGGGCCCAGCAGGGCACCTGTGCAGCAGAGAGCTCCAGAGGCCATCACGGGTGTGCAGTCTGCACTCCCACAACAGTCTTCCCCTTCCTGACATCTGGGGTGGGGCTCATACCTCTTCTTAACCCTGCACAGCCTGCGCTCAGACCCTGCAGGAGTCGCTCCAGGAACTTTGAGAGCTGGCTTGTGCTCCAGTCCCTGAGATCCTGACACCCAAGCGGCAGCAGTGGGGCCTGGTAGTAACGCTCAGCCCTCCCAGGAGAGGTCACCTTTGCCATGTGAGATCATCCCAGCCAGGGAGGTCCCTCTGATGTGTTTTGTGTTCTTCCAGGAATTGGGCTACAGCCAAGGCCTAAGCCACGTGGCAGCCCTGCTGCTGATGTGGCTGAGTGAAGAGGATGCTTTCTGGGCCCTAGTCCAGCTCATGGGGGACAGCCAGCACTCGATGATGCATGGTGGGTGATGGGTGTGGTGGGAGTGGTCCGTGCAAGTGCAGGGATGGGCATGCAGACAAGTGACTGGGACATTGTCCCTCGCTGGCTGCTGCGTGCATAGGGCAGTCTCCCTCAGAATACTTCCTTAGAAGCCAGGGCCGGCAGAGGGCCCAATACCAAGCCATACCCCTCACTTCCCATCACACAAAGGTCCTGTGCCTTGTCTTTGACAAATGACCCTTAGGTCCGTACTGGCCTTACTGCTTTACATCTCTCTACCGAGACTTCCACCCAGTGAGCCACACACCTGCAGAAGGAGCATCCATTCTATGGTGACCCCTCCACACCTCAAGTGACCAGATGGCCCTTAGGCACCCAGTGTGACTGCAGTCAGCCCAGCAGTCAACTAAGGCACACTGCCCTGGGCTGTCAGCTGTACCCCCCTTCCCCTGATGCTCCCCTGCCTGTTAGAGCCTCCCCTGACCCTCCATGTTCAAAGACCCCACCCCAAGCCTTTGGCTCTCCAGCTTTCTTGGGAATACACCCTGAATGAGGGCTGGGGGGTTGCTATTACTCAGATTTCTACACACCAGACCCCAAAACTGGAGTGATTCAAGCACCACCTGAGAGATATCATGCATCGCGTGCTCCCCTCCCTGGAGAAACACCTGGTAAGTAAACATCTCCTTTCTCCTCTCGGGGGCTCTGTGCTCAGGGAGGGGAGGACAGAGAGGGGTCCTGACTGCTTCCTGGGCCAGGGGAGGCTACATCCTCACCAAGGCTTTTCTTGGTTACTGGAGACTGCGGCAGCTTGGGTGCTGGTTTGATTTCCTGCACTTGGTCCCCCAGAGTTTGCGTAGATTGAAGGGAAACGCTGTCCCCAGGGCAGAGTGGACTGAGGGACCTGTGTCCCTTCAGGAATCTGCATGGCTGGGAGAGGGGATGCACCTGCTGCTGGGCTTCCTGCACCCAGGGGCTCTGCCACAGGGCACAGATTAGAGGGAGTCAGGCCTGAGCCCTGGGCCCTGGGCCCTGAGCCCCCTCTGCCTCTTCTTAGGAGAAGAAGGGTGTGTACCTGGAGGACTACACCGTGCACTGGTGCATCCAGGGCTTCCTGGATGGGGTAAGTGCCCCAGGGACCCCTTGCCCAGGGAAGCTCCTGCCCAGTATCTGGCTCTCTTGTCCTGGTGGCCTGTGACTCTGATCAGGGCTGAGCCCCCCCAGCCCCAGCAGACATAGGAGGGAGCCTGCTGTGCAGACCAGGCAGGCCCTGCCCTGCTAAAGGTGGTCCAAGCTGAGGCTGAGCCTCAGGGACATCAAGGAGGGGACAGGTCCCACCAGGACCCATCCTGAGAGCCTGGCAAAGGCCAGAGCCCTACAGTGAGAGGCAGGAGATCCATGGACCCCCAGTGGCAGAGGCTGGTGTCAGCACAGCCCAAGGGCTGACCCATCCCCCAGGTCCCTGGTGTGTCTGGCATCTCCAGTGTGGCTTCCAAAGTGTGCAGAGCAGTCTGGGTGGCCCCGGGGTCCTGGATAGGTCTTGGTGCTCTTTCTCTCTGGGCTTCTAGGGCACAGCTAGGATGCCCTATAACACTGCACACCCACCCACTGTGGGCCCTGCTGAGGCCCTGACACACGGGGTCCTCCAATGCCTCTGTCCCCAGTTGCCGTTCCCCCTGGCACTTAGGATGTGGGACATCTACATCCTTGAGGGCACGCACGTACTCACCATCATGGTATACACTGTCCTCAAGGTCCATCGAAGTAAGTCCTCAGGGCCATCAGAGGCCATGGTGCTGGGGATGGAGGACTTGGGGGGGTCTCATACTTGGCCTGGGTGAGCAGAACCTGGGGGAGGGACGAGTTTTCTGAGTTCTTGGTCAGCTTAGGGGGCATTGCAAATCCCATTTCATTTCCAACCCCAAAAACTCAAAAGTCCACTGGGAGAAGTGGCCAAGGTCATTGCCCAGGAAAAGTGGCCCCTGATCAGTCTCCTCTAGGGCTTGACACTCATGGGTGTCCAAGGGGGTCTGCAGACCATGTCTGGTGCAGGGACAGGGATGGAGCAGCCATGGTGGCTGTGCCATCCCTATGGCACCTCCCAGCCTGACACCCACCACCACGTCTAGAGCCTGTGTTGAAGATGTCCCGGGACCACATTCAGGAGTCCCTGCATGTGTTCCTTTCCCAGTGCCTGGCTCTCTTGACCTGGTGTCCTGTGACTCTGAGCAGGGCTGAGCTTCCCCAGGCCCAGCAGACACAAGAGGGAGCCTGCTGTGCAGACCAGGCAGGCCCTGTCCTGCTGAGGGTGGTCCAAGCTGAGGCTGAGCCTCAGGGCCAGCAAGTGGGGGACAGGGCCAGGGTCAGGGTTTGGAGCAGGAACAAGGATTGGAGCAGCCATGGTGGCTGCACCATCCCTAGGGCTCCACCTAGCCTGATGCCCGCCCCCATGTCTAGAGTGCCTGCTGAAGATGTCCAGGGACCACATCCGGGAGTTCCTGCACGTGACCCTGAAGCAGGCTTGGTCACTGAGCGAGGATGCGGCCATCAGGCAGCTGCGGGCCTCCATGCATGAGCTGGGGAAGCTCCAGTGCCTCCTGCCTCCTGAAGGTGAATCCAGCACACGGCCCCATCCCATGCTCCCTTGGGGGAGTCAGTAGTGGGAGTGCCAGCCCTGGCAGCCCTGCCCAGGGTCTCACCTCTTCCTAGTCCTCCTTGACCTCCCCAGGCTCAGCAGTTCTGCTTTCAGGAGCTTCTGACAGCATGGCCTGGTGGGGCCTCGGGCAGCTTCCCTGGATCCTCCTGCGGGATGGTCCAGCTGGCACTGGATCTCCTTCAGCCATCTGAGGACCCCTGGAAGGCCCAGGTGCCCTGAGCCCAGTTGTGGGGGCTGAGTCCACTCCTGTGAGCAGGGTGGGTGCAGAGGCAGGCGCTGGGGGCCCCCGCGGCAGAACCCAAGTGCAGCTGAGTGTGGGCTCTGCAGTCCTAGCCTTGAGCAAACAGAAGTCAGCGGGATCCGGAGCAGCACTGGCCTCTGGGCTCTGGTGGGCAGGGGTCCCCGTACTCGTCCCTGCTGCTGCTGCCATCAAGGACCTGAGCGCCTGGGTCCCCATGAAGAGCAGAGATGGGTCTGTCCCAGCTCTAGAGGCTGGCAGTGGGGGCCCAGGTGCAGGTTGTTCAGGCACTGGGGAGGCCCCACTGTGCTTCTAGGTACTGCCTACCCTGGTGCTCATGGGACAGAAGCAGTGACAGCCCAATCTCACCAGGAAAGGCACAGTGGCCCAGGGGCAGATAACACAGGGCACTCCTGCCACCTCTTTAGAAACTGCATTCCCTGTCCCTGAGGGCCTGAACCAGACTCCATGTCTGCCCCACAGCCCAGCTCTCACCCCCATCATCTTAGGCTCAGTTCCCTTCCTACAATTCAGGAGGGACTCAGATGCGGGTAACTCAGCCAATGCACTGTTAGGGCCCAGGATTTCAGGTGGGGTAGGTGATGGGGTCCTGAGTTGGTGCCAGCGGTCCCCAGAGATGAGAGAGTGAGGAGGGGGGCTCAAGGAGTGTCCAGCATGTGGGGCCTTGCAGGAAGAACCAGAAGTGTCCCCGTCATTCCCATGGCCCAGGCTGCAAGCACTTTTCCTTCTGTGGCCAGAAGGCTGGAGGTGTCCTGAGCGTCACACCAAGTGATGGGGACCCCAAGGGTCACGTCAGGGCAGGCACCCTGCAGGCCAGATGGTGGCCATACAGAAGCAAAACCCATCTGTTCTTCCAGCAAAACCAATGGAAGATGGCAGCCTGGCCCTGTAGGTGCCACCTGGCTCTCAGGAGCACGCTCCCCCATCAGTGTCCCTCAAGCGCAAGACCATCATTGAGGAGAGCAAAGGGTGCCACCCCGCTGCTGCAACTCCCCAGGAGCCAGCATGGGCTTCAGCTTCTGTCCCCGAGGGGACCAGTCCTCTCGGATCTGCCGTTCAGCCCGACTTCAAGCAACACGCCAAGGAGGAGAAGGGCAGTCATGGCAAGAGCAGCACCAAGCCCCACGTCCCAGGCTCCTCCACGGGGGCCTCAGGGTCAGGGGGCACCACCAGCCTCTCGGGCCCACAGTGCTCCTGGGTAGATGAGCTAGGCCCCCTCCGGCGCTGGACTTCCCTGACCAAACTCAACATGACCTTCAAAGATGATGACTCCGACTCTGACGACGAGGAGTACTACAGCGGCCTGGAGGAGAAGTAAGAGGAAGAGGAGGAGGAGGAAGAGGAGAAAGACCAGGCTGCTGAGTGCCCTGCATCTCCCTGGCCAAAGCTGCTGCGAAACCTGTGATTCCTCCTGCTGGCGACGATTTTTGAAGAGCATGATGAGGGAGGCCGTTAAGAGGGTGCCTCCCCGGAGCCCTCATCCCCAGCCTTGTCTGTGAAGCCCTCAGAGTCTCTGCGTGGCCCAGGCCTCTTGGCCCCACAGAGCTTGCAGAGCAGGGGAGACCTGTCCCGATGGGGGGGCCTCCCAAATCTCAGCCCGCCTGTCAAAGGCGCTGATTTCTGGCCCCTGGAGCTGGGTGGCCAGCAGGATCTCAGGGCCCCTCCCCCACCTGCCTCAGAGCCCCTGGATCCTGGGCCCATGCAGGCTGTGCCAGCCCTGGGAGCAGGGCTGAAGACACCTACCCTGCTTGGGAGCCCCATGCACTCTGGGGACACTCACGGGCTGGAGCCTGCAGGAGCCAGCCCTGTGCTGGGAGACCAGGCCTGTGTGCCCTCCCTGGCTCGAGGCCTCCTTGCTGCCCATTCCATGGAGGAGCTGGATGTGTGTGGGCACCTGGAGGGGAAGAAGAGCCCACCAGGTGTCCAGCTCAGACGGGCCAGAAGCCTAGCCTGTCTGAGCACAGCGGCCTCCCCCATGGACAAGGCTCCTCTCTGGAGCTCCTCTCCACCTCCCTGAACAGCCTCACCCTAGCTCAACTCGGCCAGAATCTAGCTTCTCTATGCCCAGTGGACTCCCTGATTGACAAGGTTCCTCTCTGGAGCTCCTCTCCCCCTCCCTGAGTGGCCTCACCCTAGCTTATCTCAGCCAAGGATCCAACCCACTGCCACAGTTGCTATGGGCACCCTCAGAGCAGGAGATGAGATAGGACACAGACCCAGGCTCCTGTGGGCTGCCACATACCCCTCTGGCCTTTGTGAGGGAACCCGGGAACTTCTGCCCCCTTGTTGATTGTATACTAAATTGTTTATTTCAGAATGTATTTGATTTTGTGACCCCTGGAGCCAAGCTGCCACACAGGGTCCCTGAGTCCCTTGCAAGAGGCTGCAGGTGCCACAGCCACCAGATGCAGGCAGAGACCTGGCTCAGGGTGCTCCATCAGTTCCTGAGATTGACCTGTGCCCAGCGTGGACCAGGGGAGCACTGGAGGAGCAGCAGTGGCTGGGTACATGTGGCCTTTGGGACAGTTCAGGAGTGTGGGTCCAGCCAAGGGACCAGGCCCATGATCACCTCTGTGCACTGTCCTGGGTATGTGGGCACCAGGTTCCCACTCTTCTTCCCTCTTTGCTTCCATCCTCTCTGCCCCTTCTCACAATCCAGCATCTCATGGCCTGAGCCCGTGAGAGGACCCCCAGGGCACTTCTGACCACAGACCAGGATGCCAGTGGGTGGAGGCAGCCCCAGAATGTCCAGGTAGTCCTGGTGGCACACCTGGCTGGCCAGATGCCCACATGCCCTCTGGCAGCTCAGGCCTCCTGGTCTGCTGTCACAGTGGGTTCAGCTTCTCCAGGTCATGCTGTCACTAGGGGTCATTAGCATGGATAATGTGTCCCTTGATGTTGGGAGAAGAGAATCCTGGCTCAGAGGCTCCTGGCCTGGAGACTCCACAGGGAAGGAGTCTGGAACCCTGCCTTGGGCAGAGAGAGCATCCCAGTTCTCCAAGGGTCCCAGACATTTGTAGCCTCTTCCTCAACCCATACAACCTCCAAAGGGCCACTAGGCCCTGTTCATCAGAAGCCACCTGGGGCAGGTTAGGCCATAGCCATTTTCCCCTGGGTCTGGAAGGCCCAGGATTCTCTAGCTGTTGAGTCTGGTTTGGAGTGACCACTCTACTCCGTTCTTGAATGAGCCATGGCTGTGTCAGTGGCAGGACCCCAAGGGCTCAGAATCGCTGGTCCCCACAGGGTGCTTTTTGCAGAATCACGCTGAGGCCAGAAGCTGACAAGATAGAGGGTGACAAGTGGCTACTGTGCTGATGACTCATCTCTCCAGGCTGGGGAGCCACAGCCATGGGCCAGTCCTGAGCCTGCTCCTGTTCTCCAGTGCTCGAGGCTGGTCCTCTTGTTCCTGGGAACCATAAGGCCATATTTTGGAGTCTTCACCTGCTTCTTCTGCTCCTTATCTGGGGGAAGATGTGAGCCCGATGATGAGCTTGCAGGCAAGGTTGCTACAGGGCAGGTGAAGTGGATGGGAAGGCCTCTGTCCAGGTCAAGCCTGTGCTGTGCTTTGTGCTCTGCCCTGGCTTCCTGGGTGGACCACAGTGTACTCAGAGATGTGCAGGCAGTCCACCTGTCCAGGAACATGCCCTAAACAGTGTTACTAATGGGAACGCACACCTAGAGACTTTCCTGGTGCCTATGGCCTCGAACCATCCACCCCTGGTCAGCCATGTGCAGGGTGACCCGCAGGCATCTGTCTCCATTGAAAGCCACCTGCCTTTGGACAGTCCTTTGCCCTCCCTGGAATGGAGATTTCACAAAGCTGGTGCTCTTTCTTAAGAAGACTTTCTCCATTGTATCACTTTGCTTTCTTGTCAAAAGTCTGATAACTGTATTCGTGAAGGTCTCTTCCGGGGTTACCATTCTGACACTCACTAATCCCACATTGCCATGATTGGCTGTCTCATAAGTTAGTGAAGCTGTGACACGTCAGTCCTCCAGTGTGTTCATCTTCAATTATGGGCAGTGGGATCTTCAGGGTATCTTCATCCCCACATACATTTTAAAATCAGTTTGGTAACTGTAAAACATCTTGATAGGATTTTTTGAAGATTTATTTATTTCAAAGAGTTACACAGAGAAGAAGAGGAAGAGAGAGAGAGCAAGAGAGAGGTCTTCCATCTGCTGACTCACTCCCCAATTGGCCACAACAGCTGGAACTGTGCTGATCTGAAGCCAGGAGCCCTGACCTTCATCTGATTCTCCCATACGGATGGTAGGGGCCCAAGCACTTGGGCCACCATCTACTGCTTCCCAGGCCAGAGTAGAGAGCTAGATTGGAAGAGGAGCAGCCAGGACTCAAAGCAACGTCTATATGGAATGTCAGCACCCGCTACGCCACAGTGCTGGCCACATTGATAGGATTTTTATTAAGACTGTGTTGGTCTATTCAGTGAAGAAATACAGATATCTGGGCTAGATTGAGTCTTCCAATCCATGACCATAGAATGTGTCTCCAAATGTTTAGTTCTTCCTTGAGACTTTTTTAGGAGCTTTGTGGTGATCCACATAGAGATTTTGCATATTTTGTTGGAAGTATACCCAGATGTTTCATTTGTTTTGCTACAGAACACTTTTTTTTTAAAATTTCCATGCATAGTTTTCTCATTAGATTCATTTTCCAAGAGCCCTCATATGTTAGTGTAGTTCTTTTCTTACATGCTGCTCTACACATCTCTAGTTCTGACTTGGTCTTGCTCATGCACTTGCTCATCTTTTTCTCGACACACACACACACACACACACACACACACATCCTCTTTCCTTCCTCAAGATTCACCATGGTGCCTCCCTGCATCGTAAGTAAAACAAAACAAAACAAAACAAAAGTGTCCTAGAAGGCTCTGGTATGCTTCCTAGGACACTACCCCAGTACAAAGGAGGAGAGGTGTCTCATTACTGCAATGAGTGGCTTGCTTTGGGGTGAACACACAGGAATTCCATATGGCCTCCACTGACAACAAGCCAGGTCTCTCTAAAGACAAGTGAAGATGAAAAATCTAAGTTCCCTATTGGGCCTTGACACCATCCCAAGGAGGGTGCTGCGGTTCTTCGTTTCTGAATCAAGAAGCTGGAAGTGTAGGCTCCACACTTGGCCTTGTCTTGTGATAGGGTGGGACTAACTAGGGTCTTTATGTGCAATCCAATGACTGTTGACTAAGTGATTTCTGTCTTGCTTGGCTGTACTTTTCTTGATTCTTTGACAAGAGAAAGCAGGCTTTGGTTATGGCTTATTTTGTCTACACTTGTTGGGACTTCTGAAATGCTGGCTTCTTGAGTTCTCAGTCTGAAATATGTAAGAACACAGAAAAGCCAGGAAATTCACCACTGTGTGATTTCTTGGGTGCTAAAGTCCCTAGTTGGTCTGCCTTCATTTCTATACCTTTCAGTATTCTTATCCTTGTTTTCTAAATAATAGCCAATTTTTTCAGTGATCATTAGTGGGAGCAATAGAGAAATACCTATTCCACATTCCAGAATCAGGAGCTCTAAAAAGATATTTTTAAACAAAACATGTACTACTTTATTACTTACTGAGGAGTTGACTCTACTTTTGCTTGGGTAGGGAGAAAATATGCATGATATAGCTTCAGATACAAGTTATGGTATCTCCCCAGCATGCAGTCCATCAGAGGAACTGGCCTTTAAGAGACTGCTCACTCTAGTGACAAAGTTGGATGGTTCCATTTCAGTGTTAGCAAAGCTGACTTTAAAAAAATCTTATATCAATGATTCATGAACCCTCATTTTAACTATCCGACCTCCCCACAAATGCTCCCAGGGTTGTCTTGAGATGAATTGGCTTAGTGGCTCTTGTCCCTACAGTGAATACCTAGGCTGTGACAGTCTCCTGCATCAATCTACCTGCCCCACCACCACCGCACACACACCTCTGAACAACCCTTCCTCTCTGAGGACTGCACACATCTCTCCTATAATGTTCTCATTTTCTAAAAGAACACATTGGAGCATTTTGATCTTAGTTCCTTCATGAACTCGCTTCCATGATACCTGACATTTTCACAGGAAACTGGTCCCAGTCCCCAGGGAAAAGAAAGCTTGCTTGGTAGGAGACTGCAATGACCTTGCTGCCTGCTTCTCCATTCCCTTAACTCTTTGCTTCTGATGTTTCAAACTCCAGTGAATGATGAGTCAGCCACAGTTACACACATATTAACTTGGGTAACCCTACAGCAGAAATAGCACCAAAATGAGTTACTAATTCTGGTGAGTCAATAAGTAGAAAGAAAGGTAGGGAGTGGAGTGGGTGGATGTGAGGGCAGATGCTTAAATGGAAGACTGTGGCTGCAGGTGACTCTTGGAGAATTCTAGAAAGGTGACCTGATGAACAGAGAAATTGCTTCAATTTATGTTAGAGGACATTTCATTTCTAAACCAACATGCTTGCACAAAGTGACTTTCCATCTTGACATGAGCACAGACAATATTTGGAAAGGCAGATTTCAGGGAAATGTGATTTAATTGTTCATCAGATTAGGCCAGCCTCCAAAATGTCATTTGCTGCTCTCTTCTGCCAACTGGACCTAGTTTCACACTAAGAGGACTTTAATATCAGGGCCCAGGAAGATTGGCACCTCCCGAGATCTAAAGTGGCTCAAAGGGGATTTTCTCCTTGACACTTGAACTTCATCAGTTAACCTGCCTCTCTGTAGTTCTCCAACACAGGCATCACATGATGTATTTATTTTCCTGCTTCTTGCACCCTCAGCCTCAGAGAAAATCAACCAAATAAACAAAGAGTTGAGCTGCATTTTAACAGCATTTCCAGAGAGATCTTTCAAAGTTTATTTGATACTGGCTGTGTTTATAACATCACCTGTTATTTTCTTTCTCCTGTTTAGTTCCCTGGTAGCCTTAGATTTAAATATCAGGCGAGGGACTTAACATCTACCTCTGTTCCTCATGTATAAATCACAGCCACAAAACCCTTCATCCTTCTGTTCACCCCACCTTGTAATGAGCTAAGAATGGGAAGGAGATGCAGCCTTCAGAGCCTGTCACGCTGTGACACATGAGCAGAAAATGCCATCTAGAGAGAGGCTGGGTTCTGTTCACAATAAACATTAATACAAAAGGAATACAAAGCCACAGTCTCGTGTCCTGTCTGCAAAGCGTGCCTTTGTTTAATGTGTCTTTTCCTGAGCAAAGCAAGCTAGGACATTTAAAGTCAAGTTCATGCAAATGTTTAAGCAATGTGGCTAGGGGTCCGTGTCATGGAGACATTGACCAAGCTGTTGTCACCAAGTATTCCCCAGGCACTGCGGCAGCAGATGTGACTTTGGGCTTCTGCAAAGAGCAATTCAGATGCGTCTTCCTCCATTGGAAAGCACAGAATCCAAGACTAAGTCATAGTGCTGGCATTAAAAGAAAATAAAATAAAATTCAAACACATTATACATAAACAGAAGACTGTACTTAGGTAGAAAATGTCCAAGCCCCAAACATGCTTTGAGTAGAGTCAATAAAAATCTCACAGAGCATGCAAAATAAGGGGTCTTCATAAAAATTAAGTAGAAGGGGCTTGAACAGAATTTGTAGACATAAAAATCAGGTTAGGTTTTCATGCTTGTCTTGATCAGTTCAGGGAAAATTCATAGAGGGGTTATTATTTCTGGATTTGCTTTTAAACATTTTAATAACATGAAAGGCATGTTTAGGATAAGTTGCCATTTCAGATAAGCATTAAGTAAATTCACTGATGTGACTAGCCCGGGGTGGATTGTGGTTTAAGAGACATGGGGGATTAGGTGAAGATCTGACTGTGGATTGTAAACATGCTGGACTCAATAGAGACCCAGGAAACACAGCAAAAGTATTGGCAAACCTGCTTACGTGGTTCTCACGAGAGGTTTCTGAGAGACAGCTCACCTTGCACATGCCATTCAAAACCACCAAGTTTGACCAGAACCTATCCTAAATGGAAGGGACAGACAGGAAGCAAGTCCCTGGTGGATTGAGTTATTCCTGTTTTAACAGTCAAACCAGACTGGCTTAGAAGGCCAACAACAAGTTCTTGGACCCTGAAAATTTAGGGAGGAAGTGTTTGGACAACACTGAAATCATTCAGAATCAGTCATCCTCTGGAACAACATGGTAAAGCGAGAAAACTTGGAGTCTGGGGACCAGAGCGTAACCTCAGCTCTGTGGATTACCAGCTATGTATCCTTGGGAAAACCAATCTATGCCCAAGAATCTCAGTATCTAAACCCAGAAAATGTGGGACTTGTTCTATATTAGCATTTCCTAAACTGTGTTTCAAAAAATGTTCCTTGTGTAGTAGTAGATTGTACTCCAAGATGGCCATGGCACTTCCTTGTACCACTCTCAGTGACCTTCTGCAATGCGACTTCGGCCTCCCACCAAGAGGAACAGAAGTGTTCACATCCCTGGATTCCAGCCTGGCCTTGTGACTTGTTTTACCTGATATTATGCAACAGAAGTGCTGTTGTCCAACTTTCAGGAGTTAGGCCTTTGGCTGCCTAATGGTTCTGTTGTTGGCCCTACTGAAACACTGTCTTGAGCACACCTTTGTAAGAAAACCATCTGGAAACAAGAAATCATATGAGAGAGAAGTGGCACCCCAGACAGCACCAACTGGGACAGCATCTTCCACCTTCCAGCACAGGAAATACATGGGATTTTGAAATATACATCTTCACTGTTACCTGAAACCACTAAATGTGGGGGCAATCTGTTGTGTAGCATTAGATAACTCAAATGGTGCTCAGTAAACTATGCGGTTTTATTGTCAAGTAAGGTTGGGTGAAGACTGGCTAAACAATTGTAAATGAGTTTATCAAACTATGGAGTTGCATAGCTTTTGACATTCTAATGTGGACTTAAAACTCCAAAGCATGGGAAGGATTTGAATGTCATGTCTGCCAGACTTCTTTTGATCACAGGGTATTATTTTCCCTAGAAAACTGATGAATCATTGTGGATCACAATGTGGGAAATACTGATGTGTTAGAATTCCAAAGGCCCTGCCAGTCCTAGCATTCCAGAAGTCTGCAAATGGAGCAGAGTATTTTGGTCACTATTTCTTCTTGATTATCTTGATGACAAGCAAATTCACTCCATAGGTTGGTTGCTATGAATTTCATTATTCACTTCCACTGAAAGTGTTTTTTACTCAAGTATAAGTAGTTTGCAGCACTTATTGTGTAGTATCAAATCTATACTTCCATTTCACACACATGTTCTTCTTTAATCTGCAGAGTTATGTGGACTGAATACTATTATGACCACTGAAATATTATGTCCATAGGCAAGTGGATGAGGGAGAAGCTTGGCATCTGGACCCTGGATATATATCTGTGCAGATTCAGAAACACAGCTATGGAGAACCGACTCCAGAACCCATATCCTCAATAACTGCACTGCACTGGACACTGTTCTTCTCTTGCTCACAGAAAAGTGATGAGGTAATGTTGGCCAAGCCTGAATCCCAAGTCTTCCATCCTAGGAAAAGTTTCAGGTAGTCAAATGGGGAAAGGATCTTGGGTTAACCTTCAAGAGAGAATTAAAAGTGTACCAACATCTACCAAAGACCTATTTTAAACCACTTACTGTGATAGGATTTTTAAACCATTATTTATTTGAAAGGCATAGTGAAAGGGGGGGAGAGGGAGGGAGAGAGAGGGAGGGAGAAAGGGAGGGAGAGGGAGAGAGAGAATTGAGATTTTCCATTCATTGGTTCACTCTCCAAAGGTCCACAAGAGCTGAGCCTGGGACAGGCCAAATCAAGGAGCTAGGAATCCATCCAGGTCTCCCACATAGCTGGGAAGGATTCAAATCCTTGAATCATCAATTATCTCCCAGGCACATTAGCAGGAAGCTGGACTGGGAGCTGAAACAGGATTCCATCCCAGGCACTCTGATGGATGTAGGAGGCAGCTTAACCCATTGAGCCAAACACTGGCTCTGTGGCAGGATCTGAACACACCCCATGGCATCTGATGTTCAAGCAGCCATCTGGGGTAGGTAAGATCATCTCTATCTTATGACTGATGCTCAGAGGAAAATGGCTCCCAGGTAGAAGGAAAAGTCTGATACCAACATCAGTATATAATGTTTCCACTCTGTTTCTGCCTAATTCAGGCCATGATGTTGTTATTCAAACAATGGGTTTACAAAGATGGAATCCCCCCAAACAGCTGCATGCATAATATTTCACCAGCATGGAGGAACTCTGAAGTGTGTGGAAGATAAAAGGGCACACTCAGGAAGATGGAATTAGTGAAATAGGCTGGTCCAGCAGGAAAGGAAACCTGGTGGAACAACTGAACAGTGCATTAACAAAACCAGACTCAGAAAAGCCTCCTTTGGTGGGGGAGAGAGGAGTCTTGTTCCCTGAATCTAGTAAGCAAGGTAGAACCTGTGACAATCTCCCACCTTGTCTTGGTAAGACCAGGGAGAGTCAAGAGACTTTGAAGAAAAAAAACCCTTTGCAATAAGCCTCTAAAGGCTGCCTCTAACTTGATTTTGGACAGAGGACAGCTCCCCTGCTCAGTCCATATGTAGGACCCACAGGGGCACCTGGAAGTGTAACCTCTGCAAGAAGCCCACAGGGGCCGGCATAGCAGGTAAAGCTGCCACCTGCAGAGCTGACATCCCATATGGGTGCCGTTTCGAGTCCCAGCTGCTCCACTTCTGATCAAGCTCTCTGCTACGGCCTGGGAAAGCAGTAGAAGACGGTCCCAGTGCTTGGGCCATCTTAATTAGTATTGAGCTGAATAAATGCAGATATAATCACACAGCAGAATACTACATAGATGGCTAAAGTATTGAGGTTAGTTAGCATCGGGGCAAAGCACACAAATGAGGCTCAATATAAACAGAGTGGAGGGACCAGCAGAATTCCTTGTTGATCAGCAAGCTCTTGAAATTCTGTGTTCCTGGGGCCAGCACTATGGCATAGCAAGTGTTGCAGTGCCAGCATCCCATATGGATGCTGGTTTGAGTCCCAGCTGCTCCACTTCTGATCCAGCTCTCTGCTATGGCCTGGGAAAGCAGCAGAAGACAGCCCAAGCCCTTGGGCCCCCGCACCCATGTGGGAGACCCAGAGGAGGCTCCTGGCTCCTGGCTTTGGATTGGCCCAACTCTGGCCTTTGTGGCCATTTGGAGAGTGAACGAGTGGAGGGAAGATCTCTCTGTCTCTCTTTGCCTCTCTCTCTCACCTCTGCCTCTCTGTAACTCTTTCAAATAAATAAATAAATCTTAAAAAAAAAGCAAAGTGCACACTGTATCCTGGGTTTTTCCCTATGGTACGTAGGTCCTTCCTATGCTCTTTTGTCCAAGTGGGGAGTATATGGGGACTGGGATCAAGTAGGCAGACATCTAGATTCTGCCATTATCTTTCATCAAGTAATTATAATCCTACCTTCCACATGAGGAAAAAGAAGGTTTTGAGAGATCACTAGCATGAAATTAGTGATGCCCTGGCTGCAGCCTGGGAAGTTGCTTGAGGAAAACAGACTGTAGGTTATCATTGCAGTCTCGAGATACCTACTGGGTCCTTCTGTGTGGGGACGCCACCATGAGTGCCCTGGGCAGGACGCACAATAAATCAGTGTTGCCCCTGCCCTCCAGGAGCTCCTGATCTAAGGAGAGAGACTCCTAGAGGGAAAAGAAAGCCAACTCTCAGAAGGGGCATAATAAAAGCTATTGCAGAGATTTATGAGCAGGAAAGACAATAAGTTCCTGGTCTCCTGGGAGGCATAGAAGAAAGTTTTATTGTGAAGGCTGCTCTCTGAAGGAAGGGCAATTTCAAGAAATGGCAATGTGTAGGCTTCCAAGCAGTGGGGACAATGTGAGCAATGGCAGCAAGGGCCTGAAGGACACACACAGGGTAAGTGAGTATTTGGGACTCACTGCCACAGAGGAGAGGAGCGTGGAGAGAAGCTGCGACTAGAGAGGAATTTCATCTGAAGACAACATAAGCCAATGACAGGGGGGCCAGTTCTCCAAGGCAGTCTTGGAGTGCATTCTCTGCTTGGCACAGGGACATCCCTGCAATGCCGGGAGGTCCAGCATGTCCCTGGACTAGGGTCTGTGGGGTCCTCCCTGGTGTCCACACACAGGAGGGGCAGAGCAGGCAGAGAACTAGAGCCTTGGGGTTCAGGCAGGCTCACAGCCCCTGTTTCTCATCATTTCTCAGTGTCTTTCCCTGATTTTTAGGTCTATGTGGCTACACCTGAGTGACAGACTCCAAGTCCTAGAGTGAGCCTTTCACAGCCCATGGTCCACCACAGCTGGGAAGTGGTGCTACAGCTCAGCCTATTGATTAGAGATGTAGAGCAGACTTGTTGGGGAGCTTGACAGGGTATAAAACAGCCAACTGCAAATCTGTGTTTTCTGGCTCACCGTGAGGAACCCAGAGGGGCACTGAGGCCATGGCTCTGGTAAAGCAGAGGGTCTGAGAGAGGGAGAGCCCCTGCCATGGGAGACTGTGCCACAAGGGATCCCAACCATCAAGCAGTGGCCAGCCAAGGTCATTGCCTACAAGGGGATGCTGAGCTCTGCCTCACAACAGTTCAGGGCCCGGCACCTGTAATCTGCCCCAGCCTGCTTCCACTGTCAGAATGGAAAGTTCAAGTTGTGCTTCACATCTAAAAGATTAAAATGAATTTCTGGGCAGGCATGGCTGTCTGTTTAGAGACTCCTCACTGTGAACAGGTGAGCTAGATTCATTCCTAGTGGGCCTGTGGCAGACAGAAGGACCAGACACCCCAGGTTTGTGCCCTGGTATTGACTCCCTGCTCTGAATATTTGGCCAAGCCCCCTTGTCCTGTTGAGTTTCACTGCACTCCCCATCCTGCTGACCCAGCAGAACGGCAAGCCTGAGTCCATATTTCTCTGATGGAAGCAGACTTTGTGGGATCAAGTCTCCACCTCTTCTTGCCACCTTTCCCCACACTCTAGGGATCCTGCTATTATGCTCATAACAACTGCATCATGCTCTGCTCAACAACTACAACCCATGGCAGCACAGTGCCTCCTTGGTGTTTGTAGGCAATACAGTTTGAGCTGCAGTCAATTTCAGTGGGCTCTGGCTTGTCTTAGGTTTCACCCTGCTCTTGGCCCCATGAGATCCTGCACATTCTTCCACCCCTCAGTCGAGACGTTGGTAAGCAGTGTGACCTTGAGTAAGTCAACAAATTGCTGTCTCAAGTTCTTTGTCTGCAATGTGGAAACACATTACAACCCAATCAGAGCTGAGATGCCTGACATAATACTGCACCTAAAAGCAATGTTGTCCTTGAGGTTGGCATTTGGGCACAGTGGGTTAACCCAGGGTTAAACTGCTACTTGGGATGCCCATTTCACATATCAGAGGGCCTAAGATCAAGCCCCACTCTGATCCAGCTTCCTGCTAAGGTACACCCTAGAAAGCGGCAGGTGATAGCTTAAGTAACTGGACACCTGCAAACCAAGTAGGAGACCTGGATGGAGTGCCTGGTTCCTGGCTTTGGCTTGGCCCATCCCAGCCCTGGAGGTTGCATGTATTTGAGAAGTGAACCAGAGAATGGATAATCTTTCCACTACCCCACCCTTCCCCTTACTTTTATCCCCAACACTCTGCTTTTGAACAAAAACATTAAACATTATTTTAAATGCTGTCTCAGATAATAAAAAATGGAGAACGGCCCCTCTGATCAAAAGTTGTAGGTTACAGTGAAACCATAAGGACCACTTGTTTCTTCTCATGATTGATCTCCCTACAAAACATTTCACTTCACGGCTCTCAGCTGTGACCCACTTTTGAGACTGTGCTGTTCTAAGTGAGGAGTGACCCGAGGCAGCTTACCCAACCCTGGCTAGAGAAAGAAGGTTTGTTTACCACCAGGCTTTCCCCCTTCCTAGGGCTGTTTGTCCCTGGAGTGGAAAACTGCTAGAGGTAAGGATGAAAGCTGTGCTCCCAAACATAGCTGTCTGAATAATTTAGGCCACCAGGTGCCCCTCCCATGGATCCCCAGAACACTGGGCACTGGCCTCATCAGAGGACTTCCCCTACTGCCGAAGATTCTTATGGAGCACATCCCCACAAGATCGCGGCCTCGAAGAGGGCAGGAGGCAAGTTATTCTCTCCGTTACACCACCCAAGAGAGCATCTGGCACAGGGGAATGACTCAAAGAGTGCTCACAGACACGGATGCCTGGCTGACTCAAAGAATCCAAGGGAGTTCATAGGCAAGAGACTCAAAAATAACTGGAGGGCAGAGTATCCAGAAATGCAGAAACAGTTTCTGCTCTCTTTGGGAAGTGCTGCTTGGAGTTCAGAGCAGGCAAGTTTTCTCACTATGTTATGCACAAGAAACACAGACACCTTCTTCTTGCCCTATTACATTGCTTCAGGGGCAACATGGGTCTGGCCCAAACATCTCCAGCTCCAGCTCTGACTCCACTTCCTTCCCTGGTGTGACCCTAAGATATTTTAACCTCAGTCTCATTCCTGTATTCCTGCAACCTTGTGGGGTGAGAATAATGAGTTGAGACTTCATGTGCCAGATGAGGACAGGGACAGACTACAAGTAGGACTAAGACAA